ATATATATATATATATATATATATATATATATATATATATATCGTCACCCTTATCTTTTTGGATAACTTTGTATGTTATATAGATATGATAGATAAAATATGTGGGATATACAATCTTTCAGTTGAATCTAATTAAAAATGCGTAATGTGATTCATGAATCTATTTGATAGCATATTTTGAATCATTATTAAAAATATTTTCTATATACTCATATTTAGTATTTTATAACTCGTTATTGAAACCGATATATATATAAAATATGATATTTCAAAAATATGTATATATACGTAAGTTTATTGATTATTTTAAATATTGGTTTTACTTATTTGATTTGATGTCGATGCATACATAATATTAGTAAGTATCACGCATATTTTTTTGTAATATTAGATTTTTGATATCTATCTATATCATTTACAGTTGTATATAAATAGATTAAATTTTAAAAATTCACTTACAAAATTTCTATCGAAAATTTATCATACTTATTAAAAAAATAAAATTTATACATTAGTCTAAAATAAATGAACTGGTTAAAAAACACACTTTGCTGCAAATATCTCAAATTCTACATTTTTATATTGTACAAGTACTAGATATGTATACGTACGTGTGTATTTGTAGACATCGTAATCTTTATCTTATCTAAAATTGGTGTTTATCATATGTGCGACATTTGGCACATATTTATTTATAACCATGGTTTCAAGAACATTACATCAGATGATTTATCGTTAGTTTTTTTTTTTTGTCTACTCCATTACGACAAAGACACGAGAGCATGAGAAGGTTGTTCACGTACATATCAACGTCCCCCGCCGCTATTTTACGAATACACGTGTCATTAGGCCACCTCAGTATCGCCACGAAGGAACAATTTTTTTTTTTTAATCGAATCCACCCAAAATCAAAACCAAGAAAAATCAAATACGGCGCTTCCTTTCTAACCAGAGACCAATTCGTCCTACCCAACAGCTAACGAACTAAGCATAACCCAAAAAACACATCACACAATAGACTATCATGAAATCAAAATCTAAGAACAAAACTCCCCACCAAAAAAAAAAGGGCCATTCGGATTCAAATGAAGAAAGTTTGTGATGATCATGATGATAGATTGTATTTTACAAATGCCAATTGCAGATTACTCATCAGCTCATACCACTGGAAAGGCTGTCGCCGAAGCGGTTTTTTTTTTTAACTTTTTTTTTGGTTCTTGCTATGTGTGGAAAAGGCTGCAAAAACACTATGAACAAGAACATTACCTCTTGTTCGGATCCATCTGTCGGCTCTATACACATTCTTCTTCCACTTCCATTAGTATCATAAACCAAGCCTCTTTGTGGTCTGTTTTTTTCGGCTAAAGCGTTTTTCCACGCCCTTCAGCCGCCATGGAACTGCCTTCTGTCACAGCCACAAGAACAAAGAGAGAGAAAGAGAGAGAGAGAGAAAACCGACGGTACCAAACTGTTCTTCCAAAGTGTTAAGCTCAGGATCCATTTACAGCCATTTCGGGTGATGATTTCTGGGGTATTAATGCATTTTCATCCCCAGTTAGCTTTCCATTGTCTGCTGCTTCCCTCTTGCTGTCAGAGAAGTTCCGGGAAGTAGAATCTTCATCGTCATCTGGACAGCTGCTGCTGTGGTCTTCGCAACTTCTGGACTTCTCAGATTCCTTTGTTTCTTGGCGTTCTTCCGGTGAGTTCTTGTTTGTTTCGGTTGAGTGTGTTGCTGCAGATGCGGTGGAGCCCGCAGTTTTCTTACCCGGAAGCACTGCCTGGCTAAGCGTCGAACAGAGTGCATCAAATGCGTTTTCCTTTATGGAACTTTTGACCAACCGTTGTTTTTTCAATGGCCCCTGCTCTCTTTCTCCCGAAGGGGATTTGCGTTTCAACCTACGGAACTCGACTTCTTCCTCCTCGGAAGCTTCTGGCTGTTTCTTAGGAGGCGGTTTATAGTCTTCATCATCATCGTCATAGTCAACCAATCCACCAGACCTCGGACTACATATCCATGGAAACAGTTAGCACATCCATTAAATAACTGCTTTATAATGCAACTCTCATGAATATCTAGTAGGAAGCTATTAATGTACCTCGAAGATGAATAGCTTGCTACCACTCCATTGGAGAGATGGGGCTTTTGTTGTTCTTTTTGTGTATTAGAAGCAGATGCTGAATCTTCTTCATCGCTGTCAGTAACCAATTTGGATAGAAAGCATGAGAATCGGGAAAGAGAAGCAAAATGTCTTAAGAACTTGATCCAGACCTGTCCTCATTGAAGTAATCTTCCTCTTCTTTATCCAAAGCACGCTCATCAATTCTTCTTCTAGAATCGACTAAATCAACATTGCTCTTCGGTACAGTACTTTCTAAGCACTGCAGATAAATCGTTAGGCAAAGGAATGACAAACCTGAATCTCCAAAGCAGAAATCAAGACCCCGAAAAACAGTACCTGCTCATATTTCACCTTGAATGCCTGGATGGAGGTCAAGTACTCAAATGGAGCCAACTGATCCCAGAAGGTATCAACTACATATTTGAGCAACACTGTTGCATTTCCCTGAACACAAAGTAGTCAATAATATTATAAACAGAGGAACATCAAGGACCTAAGATGGGGAAAAAGATGGAGAGAACGAGAAGAAATGGAACCTTGCGTATGTGCTCAAGAAGCTCCAGCACAGCAGAGTTCAGCAGATTGTACCGGTTGCCGTTGGCAACAAACACATCAATAACCGGTTTCAGTAGGTTGTTCTTAACAATGTAATTCTGCACATACTCATCCTGAAATAGAACGTCTCAGAAATTTCATAATACCCTTTAAATCTTCTTGATACAAAGGAACTTTAGTAGACACAAAGCAAATAAATGTGATGACCAGGTAAGGAATAATATTTTAGTAGTCCTAGAAATCATTGATCCACTATACATAGCTCATGATATGACACTGAAATTATCACTACCAGAAATAAAACATGTAGCAAACTAATTTATTTATTTAGGAATTGAAATAATCTTTGATTAACTAAAGATATTCGTGCTTCTTTATTCACAGATACCATTAGACCTCAAACTTTCAATCACAAAGGAGCAATAAGGATCTATTCCAGATAACAAATCTTCATCTTCTCCGGTTCAGTCATAGTTTTGCACTGGGTAAAATTGGTACAGCAAGTATCTGAATAAGGGAATCACGTGAACCTATTTCCAAAATGGAATCCAAATCTACTTACAAATATGGCAAGAAGAGTTCGGACATAGCGAATAGCAGCAACCACAAGGTGTTTTTCCTTTCTGCGTGTCAGATGCAAAACTTTTTCTGTCACATTATTATGGAGAAAATTGCACCTGAAGAGTGAAGAAGAAAATTCACATTATTAGTCAGCTGGTAGCAGGAGATTAAAACAAGAATTACCATGATAAGCATAACAAGAATTACTTTGTCCTGGAAGGATCCTGCAGAACGCAAAAACATAGCAAGTCGCAAATATTTGACAACACTTCAGGCTTCGCACTATGATGGCTTCCAACTTTTCCGGCTGCACCTTCAGATTTATTGTCAGGCCTCTCAGGACAGGAGGCAGTTATAACATCAACTAACTCAGGTAGATGCTTCTCACAGAAAATATCCATGATATTCGCTCTCTGCTAAAATGACAAGATTCATTGAAGAGCTTTGTTTAATAAAAGATCACAACAACTCTTCGCCAGATTAGAAGAGAAATATGAATACAGTTCACACAAATTTGCAGGGACTTCTCCCTAACAATCTAGCGATATATCTAAGAACAATGAGTACAACAACGAAAAAAAAACTAACTCCAAGTTTCCAACTTGTAGACTATTGAGGCAATTCTTAGGAATAGAGTACCCGCTTCCAATTCAACAACATGCAAAAATAACCCATCAGAGCAGAAACGATGGAAACTGTCTCTCGATTGCTTTTGACTTTCAAATGAGTCAGACATTAGTAGACATAAAATGAGGAGAATAACATCTCCCTTCTGCTTATCAGAAAATGGGATACTGAAAGGCAACAGCTATGCACCTGAGCTCCACTAGACAATGAATTTGGATCCAGTAAGCTTCGTATAATTTCTAGAAATTGGCAGTGCATCTTATCACCAAAATCTTCCATCATTCCCTTCACCTGTTTGGCAAACAATGGAACAGATAAATTGCCTTTTTCTCTTGTATTGTAAAAGAATAGAGGTCCGAGGTGACATATCCCTACTACAGTGCAATAAAGGGGAAAAAGGAAACGGGCTACAGGTGAAGAAACAATTCAAAGCCAATAAGCATATAGAAACAATTACCAGGAGACCAAGGAGGGGAGTTCCTTCTGGCCGAAGAATGTAAGAACGTAAAAGGTTAGAATCCTGATTAAAGAAAAGGATGAGGATGTCTGTCCTGCAATCATTACAATAATAAATCTTAAGTAGGTTAGAAATTAAGAATACATATCTGTTGTACAAATAATTAAACGGGAGAGCAAGTCAATGAAAATCAAGGAACAACAACAATCTATTCTATTTAACCATTCAAAGATAAAACTCATATACCCGGTTAATACAAGTTTCTTGTCTGGACTCTGCAAGACATCTGCTATGATGTCAAAAATCCCTTCATTAATGAGGTCCCTACAAATAAATAAACAGACAGGCCAGGTGCTTGAGATACATGATCCGCTGATATACAATTCTCAAGAAGCATTGAACAAAACAAATCTGGTATGATCATGTAACAGCTGCTCACACAAAGGGCCATTCTTCCAGAAGACTAATTCCCAACACCACAACATTTAGTTTATGTAAAGTGCATACCTAAAAAGCCGCAGTTGCTGCACCACCTGAAGGCTCTTGCTTAAACTACAAAATTCATGCAAGAAGCACACCTATTTCACAGAGATTGAAAACACATCAGTCTGGCTAGCTCACTTGAATAGCAATATGGTTCTTGGTGAAGATACAATTTCCATCCATTGCCATTTCTAGTTCATCTAAACATGAAGCTGGCAAAAACCGCAAAACTAGTTTCATTCCAAACATAGTACAGTGTCCCAGAGAACTTCTTAGTACTCTAGGATCCCTTTAGAATCACCTCTTCCCAGTAAAATTCCAACTAAAACAAGTTGCCAAAATGTTATTTCCGCCAAATACAACAACCATCGCATCCCAATACAAAATGAGAGATGCATTTTGATGCCAGGAGATACCAAATTTTTCTTGGATTCTGCAGATATAGAAGGTGACTTCAACCTTGCAAATAATTCTTGGATAAAGGTGCTGTCATCCTTCAGCAAAGAAACGACCTGCAGAAACGAAGAGTAATGTGTGAGAAAACAATATAGGATGCATGTATTCAAATGCCATATATATTATTGTCCACAACTTACTAAAGCATTGTTTGCATGGATTATTGAATTCAAGTTTGCCATTGTAGCATCGTCTACAACTCTAGCCAAAACAACATCCTGCAAGAAGTGACAAGTCATGAAACTTAAAGATTACAGAAGAAAAGTGTGTAGAAATTTACAGAGCTTGATTATGAAACCTTCAAATAACCAATTCTGTATGTCTGGTGTATCTTTGAAAGGACCAGGGGATCTTTAATTGGAATAGCCTGCAAAACAAAAGGTAGTACGAAAAGCGATCTTGAATCTGAAAAACTCTTTCCTCACAGAGCCTAGACAACCCTGATTTTTATGTCAGGTTGTGACCGCCAAACATTGCATGTAGCATCTCATCAAAACAAAGTGTCAACTAAATTTCCTAATCTCTGTGTCCTAAATAATGCTAAGCCATATGGAATATAGAAAAAGGACCACAGCATTACCTCCTTAAAAACAACGTGCTCTTTCAAAAAATTACGGTGATGTTGGGACTGAGGAACATCAGGATCATCTGAAAAGAGAAAAAGAAATTAAGCAACATAAGTATCAAATACTAGGTATCAGCAGAAGAACGCAAAATATTGGCAAGAATTGTGCACACACACTAGAGAATGTGAAAATAAACATTAAGCATAGAATAGATAATTACTGAAAACAATTACGCACCAATAAGTTTTTAGAGTGAACAACAAGGAGCCATCCAACTGATCATTTAAGCAACATAAATTCTTGGCAGAGAAAGATGAGTCTCATGACATGCAACCAAGAACATAAGATTCTTTCACTTTATCTACAGCTAGTTCCTGAGAAGTTATGAGGAACAAATTTAGACTTTGAGGGTCTCCCACTGCTACAAATCATTAACAGAAACCGAAATGGTTTCTCGTGAAATATGCACTAAACACCTATAGCTGTGTTCAGAAGTTCATGCCCCTCACTGTCTTTGAAAATAAATGATTAGCAGAGTTTGACCAGTGAAAAGATACTTACACTCTAGACACCCAATAATTTCCAAGATTAGCTCATCCCCAAAGATTTTCTCAAAGATCGGAGGACTATTGAGCAAAACTGCGTATAAAAGAAACAAGAATCATTGAGATTACATAAAATTCCGAAATGATAAAGGATGAAGAAAATGACATTGAGAGATATGTGAATACTAACTGATTCCTTTGACTATATTGAATATCATATGAAGGCCATCAACATTTTCCAAATCCTCACAGATTCTAAACACATCCATCAGTTTCCGGAAGAAATCTTGCTGCATCAAGGCAAGAAGGTCAATTGAGGAGGTTTACACGATTTACTCCTCAGGTAAGATATGTAAGAATAGCAATGGATGGATGAACTAGAAAAATGGAAGTGTTTCTTTGAGAACATGACAAAAATATTATTCCAGAGAAAAAGTTGTATTTGAACACTTTTCCATTATCTCTGCTCGTAATTAAACTGAAGCCACTCTAAAAGCCAAAATGTAGTGCACATTTTTACAAACTATGATTCGGAGACTAAAAACAATATTGCGTCAAAGAAAAACTTGGACCTGCAACAAGATTTTTTCCGAGGAGAACAAGCATAGGTAATAAACTAAACAAAATTGTAACGGCCAAGATTTCTCATACAAACAATGTTAACACAACATTGAAAAATATCTAACACTTACATCCTTCAAAATAAGTTCAGCTAGACGCATTTGATCAGTAATGCCACTCTCAGTCACAATCTGCAGAGAAAAACGAACCACATACATAAATTCTTGGACAAACAAACAAAAAAAAAAGAGAAAAGATTTTAAAAATTTGTAAGTAAATGAATTGACACGAAAACTTCCACCTACTGGTGTGCTAAAACAGAAGCACACCAAGAGGATCTATAAATATGGTGAGAAAAAGAGACCGTAGTTCTCTGAGGTCCATTGGGACACAGGAAGATTGCCAAATAAATAGTCCTTCTGACAGTGGAGAGGGAGAGGAAGAAGTTGGAAATGCAATGGAAAACAGCCAAGGGAAAGAATTTATACGCAATGTTATGCAATGCCCTACATAAAATATTAACGTTGAGATTGCTACTTTGCAATTTTTATCACATGAGAACATAACCAATAGGTAAATAATCTAGATAAACCGCAACACAATGAAAACATAAGGCAATAGAATCTTAGGACCTTGAGTATTAGAGGAAGCGTGGAAAGCTCTACGGCGGGAAGCTCCCTCAACTCACTATTCAGGCTGTGGAATGTTTCACCTGCTTAGTCACAGATGGTACTATTGTCAAATACAAAATTCATTATGAACTAGAAAAATATACAAGAAACGTGTGGCAAAACAATGAAAAAAAGTCTTAATCATTGCAAAAGTGACAAAACATATTGTTTCTATTCATATATTCTGAAGTCCAAATGACCATTATGCAACAAGTGCAATTGACTCATCCAACAACTACGCCTTCTTTTAGCAAAACACTGGTATTTCCATCACAGCAAAACCAAAATGAAATCCCATGTTGCATAGCAGAATAGAACAAGAATATATTATATACAAGAGAAGAATCAGAATGACATATAAATTATTCGATGACAAATAATCTTCCAGAGAGAAAAAAAACCTTACTGTTAAGAGAGTTGAAATGCATATTACGTTGCACAGTGCAGATCTGATCCCTGGACACAATAGACAAGCACGTGTCTGCAGTCAGAAAAAATTAACTGTAGAATCCAGAAGCCGGAAAAGGAAGAAAACATGACAGTTTCTATCACTTACCAAACATAAGAGCATCCTGCGGTTTCTTGAAAGCTCAAAGCCAGTTCTGTCGAGCGCTCTGGGTCTCTCCATGAGATAATTGTGTCTACATTGCAGCATATGACCAATTACTCGAACAAAAAGAAACAGCAGATATTTGAAAATATCATAGGTGATACAACCACAATTCACAAAGGCTACCTTCTTGCTTCTTGTAGATATCCTCAGGGCTGATGTGGTGCACAAGTAGTGTTTCATTGTCTTCTTCATCAATCACATAAAGACCCAGTTCTTCTGTTCGCTGCATTGGTAGCATTTCCATCTATCTCTTTAGTTATCAGAGACTTGAAAAGTTTAATTTCAGATTGAGTGCTGGAAATTCAAGCCTCAAGAGAAAACCAAGAAACCAGGTCAAAATTACTACAAACCTCCATATAGTCAATGGTGACATGTCCCGTTCCTCGGTCATCCCATTTACCATCTTCGTTTAAACGATAGACTTTCACTCTCTGAACAATCGAAACAAGTTAGAGATGCCCCCCAAAACGAACTTTTTGCCTAAGAAGTTTGTTGTCATAGTACATAGAGCAAATAAAATAACCACTTCAACTACAGATCTTCCCAAGTTTGGACATTAAACAAGCTTAATCCATAAAATTGAAGAATCTCACTAAAGCGCCTAGCTCGTAATAGGTTTTTAGATAAGATATCAAAAAGAGTCCCCAGTCGAATCCCATGGAAGGGATTACTTGCAAAGAGACCATGGACTGTCAGTTCTAATACATTAACCAACAGAGGGCAAACACATCTCGCTAGCTCGCCATTAACACCTGCCAAATATTGGATTCGCCACATTGCCCAACTGGGTGCAAACCTTATTACAACCAATGGATATTTTGAAACAACAAAATTCTAACCTTCAAATGTACTAAAAATCTCAAATTCCTACCGAATTTGGGCTAAACAACTGCTGGCTAACTAGGAAAATCTTCAGTAATGACACAGCTGATCAGCGGAGACCGTCATAACATCAAGCATCCAAGGAAACACAGATAAGTTCGCTAGCACAAAATCAACTGATCAATAGAAACAAATTCGAATCCAAGAACTTCCTAACACAAACCAGCAAACCCGAAGACCAGCTAAAGAAAGCGCGAGCGGAAACATACACACCTGCATCGAGTTGGAGGTAGATTGCGATTTGTCCGGAGCGCCCATCGCTAGCTTCTCCCGGTCCGATCCAAAATCGGGCCGCGAAAGAGAGTAAATTAGACCGACGTCGACGTCGAAGCGAAATTAGGGTTTTGGAGCGAAAAGGGAGAGATACGATACCAGAAGCCGAGGATATAAGCGGGAAATGAAGGTTTTCGGGGAGTGAATCAACAGAAATCCCTAACCGCCATTGACGTAGCAGCACAAACCCTTGTCATACTCTCTCTCTATCTAGTTTCTCTCTCCCAAGAATGTGCTTTCCTTTTGCCCCTCCTGTTATTTTCCTGCGCAAGCCTTTCCCCGACCTTCGAGACGCGGAAGAGGAGAGAAGGGAAGAAAAGAAAAAGCCACCGGAATAAACAACAAATAAAAATAATTTACATACGTTATGAATAAACTTCATTAATACCCTCACTTACAGTCTCAATTCACGGAAGAGCCACTGATTATTGTTTGTACTCTCCCACGCGCTTTCTCCCCGCGCGTGTACCGCACTCCCTTTACTGTTACGTGGCTGTGACCTTCGAGGAGTGACCTGCGTAACGATTCGTCCAAACCAAAATAATATCCAATTAATTATTGACCTGCGAGGAGAGTGACCTCCGGGGCCAGATATGCCCTGACACCTGTATCTGTGGTTGCAGAAATTCCACGTGGTGAACGGTGGTTGGTGTACCTATGAAGTGCAGCGTGGAAAGCCGCACCGAATCGAAGCCTCTACGCGAGCTTTTGGATCCCGTTGTGTGGTTCAGCAAGCGGCTGTCTCGCCTTTCCGCACTCTCTAATATTGTATTTTCTTTTTTTTTAGACCACGAAGAACAAACATGCAGCTTCGGTTTAATGGGTTTTATTGTTACATGATGTAAAAAAGCCATTTTTGCCGACAAATACAAAAGTGGGCTGAAGGCCCAGATTCACGACCCAAAAATGTTGGACCGTCTTCCAAACCCGACATCAAAACCAAATGGTTATAATTTCTTTAAACCAGAAAAAATCAAAACCGAACCGAATCAAATAAAAAAATAACCGAAAAAACCGATAATTTCTTTGAAAAAATGAACTTTTACCGAAACCGAATCGAACCCAAACTGAAAAATAACCAAAACGAATCGAAATTTATATAAAAACTGAATGGTTATAGTTTTTCTATAACCGAAATAACCGAACCGAATCCAAACCGAAATCCGAATTGGCCACCCTAGAGTTCACCGCAACTCACGAGCTGGGATTCATACCAAAACAACCACAAGACAAGACACAAATTGTCTTTTAGACCGAAACGAATTTTCAGATTAGTTTCATATCAGAATTCAGATACCATTCAGACATGCAACCCCAACCAGACCTAGCAATACAGGGCAACGCTTCAAAAGATATCTTTCGACTAGGAATTTCAACAAAAGATTCATCAACGAATAGGAGGGAGCACCGTTTGCTGGAGAGATTGGGAAAACAACAATCAACCGAACGAGAAAAGGAGAAGCATCATCAATCAAACGAGGGAGGATAACCAAATATCTCTGAGATTATGAAGCCAGTAACAGTACACCGACAACTTCCGTAAACATGATTAAACAAAAGGAGAAATCAATCGACTCCTTAATAAAAAACAAAACCACATTACTCTTCTCCGCTGGCATCCTCGCCGCTTTTGTTGTTGTGTTTCCTCGCGTACCTCTGGTTCCTCAGGAACTTCGGGTCCATCTACAGATTTTTCAACCAATTTAAACAAATCAAACACCCCGACAAACATCTCCAAAACAAAATCGGATCGGAATCGCTAAAAATGTTGTTAGACTTACTCCTTTGGTCGAGGTGTGACGGTGCCTCCTCGGCTTCTTGATTCCATTCTTATGCGCCTTGTGAGACTGGTTGTGAGCAGTGTGGTTCTTCGACTTCGCCATCTCTGCATCACCACCAAACGCAATAAACATCAATCACATAGAACAAGAAGTATCAGAGATGAACATAAAAGATCCACAACGCGATTTCCGATAAAGATCGACGGAGGAAATGAAACGAACCTGAGTAACGAGAGAGATCCTCCGCTCGGCTGAACTCACCGCAACAAAAACTCGGACCCTGCTGAAAACCCTAGCTTCTGATCATTTTATACTGGCGACTCGACTAAATGACTACAGTGCCCTAAACCGATAAAAATAATGGGCTTTAAGGAGCTCGGCCCATTAATATCATTAAGGCCCATAATGTGAGTTCATGAAAGAAACGTGGAGCCTCTGGTTGTACTAGAGGGATCAAGAACCCTACGAATAAATTAATATATCTCACAGTACCAAAACAAAACTGATTCGAAAAATCCGAATTTTATATATGTTTATTTTATTTCATTATTACATTACCTTCCCTTCAGATCCAACCTAGCTGTATTGTTCGTCTCCTCCGACTCTGTGAACTTCTTCACCAGATCCGTTTGATCTGAAGATCTAGCGATGTTTCTATTCGATTGGTTCTATGGGATTCTCGCGTCGCTTGGTCTCTGGCAGAAAGAGGCGAAGATTCTCTTCCTCGGCCTCGATAATGCCGGAAAAACCACTCTCCTTCACATGCTCAAAGACGAGGTTTGTTCCTCCTTATATTTTCCTTCAATTCGATTTCGATCTTGCCTTCGGGGCTGGGTTAGCGCCCTCGTATTTGGGTTTAGAGTTTATTTTGATTTGAATTGGCGTGTGTTTTTGCAGAGATTGGTGCAGCACCAGCCAACACAGCATCCGACGTCGGAGGAATTGAGCATCGGAAAGATCAAGTTCAAGGCTTTCGATTTGGGTGGTCACCAGATCGCTCGCCGTGTCTGGAAGGATTACTACGCTAAGGTAAAATTACCGTATACTGAATTCCCCTTTGCGGTGCATGGCGATGGATAAAATGGGATTCAACGTTATTACGCTGAGTTAATTGCAGTTCATGTGTTGGAGTCTGTTAGTGTAGAGGCTAATTGCAGACAATGTGTGATTGTTGGATGATGTTCTTAAGCAGTTTTATCTGCTGTTGCTGCTTGTAATAAGTGAATGTACATTTTGATTATCTGAAGACTGATGTTTGTTAAAGCTCAGTATTTACGATCTTTTCTCTCGGCTTGTTTTTCTCTGTAAACGTAGGAATCTTATCTGTTGTTCAAATTTTGTTATCCAACTTACGAAAAGCTTAACTATCTGTATCTTGTTTACAATCGTATCGTTATGATGAAAGCTAGTGTATTGTGTGTGTGTTTTTAATCTCTGGTCTCGGTGTCTGTAGCGAGTTTAGTTTCAGTTGCCATTGCATTTAAAGGTTTCAACTTTGCCGAGTCTGTGGGGATAGATAGCTAGTGTTTCTGCTTTCTGCTTCTCCATGACATTTGGGTCCTTTTTCTCATTTATCTGAATGCTAAGGTCGACAGTTTGATACCGGATGTCATATGTTTAATGTTCGACATACGTTGTACCGTAGAATGGAAGCCTTATGGGGATGATAATCTCAGTTCAGTTCTTATGCATCTATTCCTCTGCATTCTTAGCATAATACCAAACTTCATTTCCACTTCATAAGTTGCGTAATGAACTGCACGGCTTTCTTCACTCCGGAACAGATGAGTCATTGTCTTATGATTTTCTTGTGCTTGTTTGATAACTTCACCTTCCTCCCAGAGCGGAGAGTGGGTTCAGATGATTGTCTTGTTTGCGAAAACTTTCCTAGAATTCCAGAAAATAAATGTTTAATTAGAATCTGAATATACAGTTTGTTTAGCGGTTTCTGTTTGTTCATACCGTGTGTATCATTTTTGTTAGATAGCAAGGAAGAATTTATTTAAATTAGGGTGCCCTAACTCCCTTGGAGTTGCTAGTTAGGATGAAACCGGTAGTCCTAAGAGAATCTTCTTTCTTATTTGTCTGATCTGAAAGCTGCATTGTCCAAAACCCTAGATTAGGCTAGCATTCTCGTATGTTGGTTATACACTCCACAAACAAGTAGACTAAACGTGTAATGGCTAATACATTTTCTCCCCCATTCTTCAAACAGGTGGATGCAGTCGTGTACTTGGTGGATGCCTTCGACAAGGAAAGGTTTGCTGAATCAAAGAGGGAGCTCGATGCACTTCTGTCGGATGAAGCCCTAGCCAGCGTCCCTTTCCTCATCCTCGGGAACAAGATCGATATCCCTTACGCTGCCTCGGAAGACGAGCTCAGGTACCATCTCGGGCTGACCAACTTCACTACTGGGAAGGGCAAGGTTGTTCTCGCGGATTCCGGGGTTCGCCCTCTTGAAGTTTACATGTGCAGCATCGTCAGAAAGATGGGTTATGGCGATGGGTTCAAGTGGCTTTCTCAATACATCAAGTAAGAGCTTCTTTTTTTTCCATGGTGTCTGGATTAGGACACGGAAATCGGAAGACACAGAGAGACTTTACTTGTAGTGTCAAGGTTTTTTTTTTTTTTTTTTTTTTTTGAAGTTTACGTCTTTGAAGGAACCATGTTCGGTTCCTTTTGTTGACTCCATAGATTTTTTTTTTTTTAATCATCAATCGCGTTTTGTTCACAAAATATATCGCAGACTCGTTGAATGATCGAAGATGGGGTGGTCTTAGACCGATCAATCCATTGGTCTCTACTCTCCAGAGGATCAGAAACTATCATAAGCCCAATTTGAAAAACAAAATTCTCAAATATGAATATTTTTTATATATATAAATATATCAATTATTCTATATTTTGAAATAAAAGCATAGATTTTAAAATTATCAGGCTACAAAATCTCATGTAAATATGTGAATTTGTTATCAATTTTAAAATGATACATGAATTTCAATTCGCTCCCCAAAAAAATACGAATTTTATTTTACTCCCATTTAAAATTTGTGAATTTCACAAGTATTTTCAAAAACCATACACATTATTTGATATCTTTTTTTGTATGATATAGTTTTCCCCCCGAGCTTTGTGCGAGTTTTTTAAGTACATGTAAAATTTATAGATTTAACTAGACATCCAGAAAAGATCGTCTATTTAAAAAAAATATATATTTGGAATTTTTTGGAATACGATTTTTGCAAAAATAGAAATCTCAAAACGTTTTCTTATCCAAAGTTCGAATTAGTTTACAAGTAAAGAAACAGAAGTCTATCTCTAATGTAGTTGCAAACAGTTTTTCAAACATGGAGATATGTCATGATCTCTTTGGTCTTCGTTTTGAATCTGTATGGATATGCGGTTATGTAATTACAGATAATACCTAGAAACAAAGATTTCCAAAAATAGAAAGCGTTTAGTTATCGACTGATATATAAATACGCATGCATGCATGCATGCAAAAAGCAATCAAAACACACGAGAAAATCACGAACACGAAGCATTACACGTTAAAAAAAACAAAATGAAAATCTCCTGCAAGTATATCGTCGCAGTGTTAGTCGTGTTATGGTCGGTCCACGCCACTGAGTCAGCTCGGACGCCGTTCGCGTGCGACCCGACAAGCGATTTCACTCGGACGCTACCGTTCTGCCGGGTGGATCTACCGATCGAGGCGAGGGTGAAGGACTTGATCGGACGGCTGACGCTGCATGAGAAGGTCCAGCTTCTAGGTGATAACGCAGCGGCGGTGCCTCGGCTCGGCATCCAGTGGTACAAATGGTGGTCGGAGGCTCTTCACGGCGTCTCGGACGTGGGGCCCGGCACCAGGTTCGGCGGTGCATACCCAGCTGCCACTAGTTTCCCTCAGGTCATCACCACGGCTGCATCCTTCAACCAGACGCTCTGGGAAGAGATCGGACGGGTGAGAATACAAGGCCAATATTCAATTCTCGTTCATACACTGGTTTTGAATTCGGATTCGTATTTTGAAGTTAAAAAAATTATAGATAAAGACATTATTATGTAAACTCTAATATTATGTTAATTTGTTTTATTCTTACCTAACTTTGAATGATTGGAATATTCGCCCTTCATTCCAATATATTGCTGTTACTGATTATACAAACATGCTAACAATTACATTGTTGTTATTGATTTGAATGATTGTAGGTGGTGTCTAATGAGGCAAGAGCCATGTACAACGGCGGTACGGCCGGTCTCACCTATTGGAGCCCTAACGTGAACATAGTCCGCGACCCTCGATGGGGACGTATCCAAGAAACTCCCGGAGAAGATCCTTTCGTTTCCGGAAAATACGGCGCCAGCTATGTCCGCGGGCTACAAGGCTCCGGCAACGGCGACAGCCTTAAAGTCGCCGCCTGTTGCAAACATTACACTGCCTACGATCTTGATAATTGGATGGGTGTTGACCGTTTCCATTTCAGCGCTAACGTAAGTACCCATATATATATTTTTTAATTTTTTTTAATCGGGTACCATGGACCAAATTTCAAACTAATCTCAAAACCGAGAATCAGTCATCCAAACTTGAACTTCTAATTCTGACGAAACACACGTTTTACACCCCATTTCACTAATTGAAGTATCAAACTATCTATTTTTAATGTTCTTTTACGTAACAAAAAAAGTTTTTTATTGAATATTTTTTTTTATTGTTCGTTGAGAAGGTCACAAAGCAAGATCTTGAAGACACGTTTAACGTGCCGTTCGAGACATGTGTCAAAGAGGGAAACGTCGCTAGTGTGATGTGCTCTTACAACCAGGTCAACGGAAAACCGACGTGTGCTGACGTGGATCTCTTGAAGAACGTCGTCCGTGGCGAATGGAATCTTAAAGGGTGAAAAATCTCGATGACCTACAACCTTAATAATTTCTATCCAATTTTGCTTCATTTCGATATATACATATACATACATACATATATATATATACAGGTATATTGTTTCGGATTGCGACTCTGTGGAAGTGCTTTTCAACAAGCAACAATACACCGGAACTCCGGAGGAAGCAGTTGCAGCTTCTATCAAAGCCGGTAACTTTTCTCTCTTCCTAGCCATGATAATAATGATGATGATACCCAAGAACAATAATCTAATCGTGAAATCGTGTCGTTTTGCAGGACTAGATCTGAACTGCGGGGCGTTTTTGCCGACCTACGCGGAAGGAGCGGTCAGCAAGGGACTATTGAATGAATCCGACGTGGATAACGCCGTTGACAACACCTTGACGGTCCAAATGAGACTCGGTATGTTCGATGGGAATCTTGGTCCGTACGGTAATCTCGGACCAGGAGATGTTTGCACTCCGGCCAATCAAAACCTAGCCCTTGAAGCAGCCCACCAAGGCATTGTTCTTCTCAAAAATTCTAGACGCTACGCGCTTCCTCTGGACCCCATGCGCCATCGCAATATAGCTGTCATCGGACCCAACTCGGATGTAACACAAACCATGATCGGAAACTATGCTTGTTTTTCCTCAATCTCTACCCCTTGAATGCACCTTATATATATATATATATATATATATATATATAATTTATCTTAATACTTTATTTTATTCCTTTAGGAAAACCATGTGGTTACACTTCTCCGTTGCAAGGGATCTCAAGATACGCAAGAACTCTATACGTGCAAGGCTGTGTGGGAGTTTCATGCACCGGAAACGAACAGTTCAACTCGGCCGAGGTGGCGGCGCGTGGAGCAGACGCTACGATCCTCGTGATGGGAACCGACCTATCCATTGAGGCGGAATCACTGGACCGAACAAGCCTACTGTTGCCAGGTCACCAACAAGAGCTCGTGTCTCGTGTGGCTCGAGCCTCTAGGGGTCCGACCATATTGGTCATCATGAGCGGTGGTCCCGTCGACGTCACGTTCGCCCAGAACGATCCACGTATCAAGGCCATCATCTGGGCTGGGTATCCGGGTCAAGCCGGTGGTGCCGCCATCGCTGATGTCATCTTCGGCAAAGCTAACCCAGGTATCAATATTATCAAATATATTCATGCATTGTGATCCATGTCAGGTACATATCATATATATACACACACATGTATGTATTGATGACAGGTGGGAAGTTACCGATGACGTGGTATCCGGAAGATTACGTGGACAAGATCCCGATGTCGAACATGGCCATGAGGCCATCGGGAGATTTCCCAGGGAGGACGTACAAGTACTACAAGGGACCTGTGGTTTACCCCTTTGGCTTTGGCTTAAGCTACACCACTTTCAATCACACTTCTCTACAAACTCCACCGACCAAGATCTCAGTCCCGATCTCAGGTGCAAAAACCTCGGCCAGTTACGTAGAAGTGTCTCAGGCCAAGTGTGATAAAATACCGAAGATACCCTTGAAAGTAGAGGTGGCCAACACGGGGATGGTCGACGGGAGCGACACTCTCTTCGTGTTCGCTCAGCCTCCGGTCGGAGAGGCGACCGCGTTGGGTCTGAACAGGCAGGTGGTCGGGTTCGAGAAGGTTCTGGTCGGGGCAGGGGCAAAAAAGACAATTCAAGTGGACCTCGATGTATGTGAGAATCTTGCCGTCGTGGGTGAGAATGGGAACAAAAGAATATCGTTTGGTAAGCATAAGTTGTACATTGGGCATGTTAGATACTCTGTTCAGGTTCAACCAAGCTTCGGACAAAACTAAACGTATGCGACATTGTAAATGATTTGTGTATCGACCCACATTATGTAATTCGTTCTATGCTTTCTTTATTCAAGTTAATGAACTTGTGTACTCTTTTTTTTTTTTTTGCGTGTACATTTATAGTTTTTGTTGTTGGTGTTATTTAAATCCTCGGTAGGTGTCAAACGGTCCGGTCTGAGTAGCCCACAATTAACCCGAAGATTTCGGATTCGAATTCAGACCGATCGAAATTTTTTGGGTCTATAAATTAAGTTTGTTCCTATAAGACACGGGTTTGGACTCGCATGGGATCGGACGAGATGAACCTTTTTAATACTTTACTCGTGTGTATTGATAATTTTTATTGCATTTATTTTAAAAAAATAAATCGATCTTTTAGATCGGTTCAAAATCTGAATTAAATCTGATTCGAAAATTTGAATTTTTTCGGGTTTATAATTTTAAATTCAAAACATGATACTTTTCGAACGGGTTCGTAATGAGGTTTGAGTCAAAATTGACACCCTAATCCTTATATTATATATATATAATTATATGTTGTTTACTTGATCATATTAGAAAACAATAGTTTTATTACATATAATAACCTTATCGTTTATATATATATATATATTCGTCCAATAATATAAAAACCAAGTGAATCCTTCGCTAGAGAAAAGTTTTTTTATAACGAAAAGGTTTGTTGGGTCTTCGACACACTTAATTCTCATGGATTTGGAATCGATCTTTAGTCACACAATTAATTGTACACATCTTCTCCTCCAATGGAATCGAATCCAGAACTTTGAGAATGCGTTAAAGAAAAGTTTTGACCATCATATTGGTTTTTTAAAATAAAAATTGAATATAAAATAAAATGTGAGTAAAATAAAAACCAATGTAAAAAATCAAACGAAAATCGTTTCATAAAATCGAAAAAATTAAATTAATTAAAAGTAATCAAACTATAATACAAATTGAGTTTGTAATACAGATTCTTATATTTAAGTATATATATACCCTTTTAGGTTAATAGTATTATATTAAGCGTTTTAATATTGATTTATAAAACATATAAAAATTAGCATTGATTTATTAATATCATCTTTTTTATGCGCATTAAATCAAAGACTGAAAGTAAACGCACGGTAAAAAAACTGGCCACATGGGATCAAATTTAACCGTTACATTTCCCTTTCCCTCCAAAAAAAAAAAAACAGAGAGACTCTGAAAGATTTTCCCAGAGACAGAGAACGGAACAGAAACCTGATTGTTCTCCAATGGCGGATCTGAAGAACCTCTTCGTCACCACAAAAACTCCATCTACGACTCAGATTTTACTAACTTTTCTGCTCTTCCTCTCTCTCTTCCTCTTCTCCTCTTCGTCTCTCTCGGATTTCTCTCCCTCTGTGATCGTCTCGAGCTTCACCTCCCGTCTTCTCATGGCCGCAAACTTCTTCTCTTACCCTTCTTCTCCTTCGGATACTTGCACCGTTTCGTCTGTTTCCTCAGAAAGAATCCGCGTCAACAACGATTCGAGAAGAGGCCGAGAGATCGACACAGTGACCAAAGAACTCAATTCTTGCGATATCTTCGACGGAAGATGGGTTCTTGATGAATCTGGTCCGGTTTATGCTCCCGGTTCTTGCTCTTACCTCGAAGACAAGTTCAATTGCTTCAAGAACGGCCGTCCCGATTCGGGTTTTCTCCGTTACAGATGGCGCCCTCACGGATGCACAATCCCGAGGTCAAGATTTGGAGGGTTTTGACAATCTGATTTCTGGGTTTTTCTCCTTTGAAGTTCCTCTGTCGAGATTGTTTTGTCACTGTGTTCATCTTATCCTATTCCGGGATTTTGGGTAATGTAGGTTTGATGGGAGGAAGATGCTGGGAATTCTGAGAGGGAAAAGACTGGTTTTCGTTGGAGATTCATTGAACAGGAACATGTGGGAGTCACTGGTCTGTTCCTTGAGCCAATCGCTGGAAGGCAAGAGCAGAGTTCTCAAAGATTCTTCTGCTAGATGGAATCTTATCAATGGCTCTTACGGTTTCAGATTCAAGGCAAATTCCTCAGATCCACACAGCTTCCCTCTCGATAACGCATTGTGTTTTAGTTATTGACCGCCTTTCTGGGCTTTGAACACAGCGCAGGAGTTTCAGTGCTCTATCGATTTCATCAAATCCCCGTTCCTCGTCCAAGAATCAAAGTATTCCGACAGATTCGGGAAGAAGAGAGAGACGTTGAGGCTCGATGTGATCCAAGGATCGATCACCGAGCTCTACCGCGATGCGGACATAGTCATCTTCAACACTGGCCACTGGTGGACACACCAGAAAACCAACAAAGGGTATGATCACATGACAAGAATATTCAGTCGCTCTTCTTCAAGAATAATCCCTAACTCATGGGTTTTTGTTTCAGAAAGGGTTATTTCCAGGAAGGAAGCCATATTTACGACAGATTGGAAGTGCGAAAAGCGTATACTAAAGCTCTCCATACATGGGCTGATTGGGTTGATGCCAATATCAACATCAGCCGAACCAGAGTCTTCTTCGTCGGCTACTCCTCCTCCCATTTCAGGTCAGAATATTCTGACCTTTCTTTGCGCTTAAGCAACCTTGAACCTGGAAATTTTTACAGATCTTGATCCGGGTCCTTTCCGGTTTGCTGCAGGAAAGGAGCATGGAACTCAGGTGGGCAATGCGACGGAGAACTCGAACCGATAAAGAACGAAACGTATGCGGGAGAATATCCATGGATGATGAGGGTGCTCGAGTCGGTGATATCGGAGATGAAGACGCCGGTTTATTACATGAACATCACCAAGATGACATGGTACAGAACCGATGGCCACCCTTCTGTTTACGGACAGCCTCCAGAGATCCGGGGAAGAAGCTCCGTAATGTTCCAAGACTGCAGCCACTGGTGTCTCCCCGGCATCCCCGATTCTTGGAACCAATTACTCTACGTCACGTTGCTACTCTCCAGACGCCGTTCCTTGTCTTACAAGTCACTTGAAACTCTCTTGTCTTAGCCCATTATGATGAATCGATATGCCCAGTTTCTTTATCAAACGTGAAAACCTCTCTCTCTCTCTCATTCTGAGATTCCTTTCATTGCTAATCATGGAAGCTTCATTTGAAAACTCTCTTGTCTTGGTGAATGATGAAAAGACACGTATAGACAGTTGAGGTTCTTCTTTCAAGCGGCGAAAAGTCTCTCGCTGATCCAGAAGGTCTCTCTCCTTTGTTTTCCTGATTCCTCCTGAGGTACTAATAATTAGTCTTAATACTACGTCGTTTTGAGAGTATTAATAATGATTTAATTTGGATATTGCATTCTCTTTTCTTGAGTTTGTTAGGAATAATCTTATTTTATTGCATTATTTTATTTATTTTGAAATTTTCAAAAGTTGGGTGCTAGTCTTTAGGCATATCCCATGTAATTTGCTCACGTTCTCTTTCCAAGCTGGTTTTTGTTTTGTATTTAAAAAGGCATCAGCATGAAATAAAAAAATATATATTTCTTCCTAATGATATTATCTCTTTCTCTCTCAAATATCTTTCCATGTTTTTTCAGTATAATATATATTTTCGTCGATAAAGTGATGCAATAATATTTTTTTGGGTCTAGTTTCTGAAGATTTGTAATAGAGTTTGCAATCACGTAACGGTGCCATTCTGATTACTTAATTTGGAAAAAGAAATTATCTTTTTATTAACATAATTCTTGAAGAATCGTAATATAATTTTTCTTCCTCTTATGGAATAAAAAAAATATATACTTTACCAAAAAAAAATTCTTAACCAAAAAATAAAAAATAAAAAAATATAATCAATAGTTATAGATTGTAATTTTATGTTCTTTAATTTTTTTTTTACTTTTACTTTTAAATAATAAAATTGAATTCTAATATATATTTTTTAGGGTTTTTTTACTATATATAAAATCTGTGTTACATATAATATGTTTATTCATATATAGTCTAAACAATTTGAAATCTTTTAGACACCGACTACAACAACGCTCTAAATGCTAGGACGGATCCCAATTAATCCCATTAACATCTCACATTTTCTTGAAATCGTTTTTAACATAGTGATAATAATTTAACATATTTGCCGTAATTTATTGACTCGTTAATAGAGTTAATATTGTAGAATCATTACACCTTTGGACCGTCTCAACTGTTATACCGGCTCCTGTGCTATTATTTAACCTACGCATAACGACAAAAAATTTATACAAAAAACATTAATTTCTTTAGAAAGCTGGATTGGATTGGTGCGCGAACTATTTAATAGTTCAAACTTCAAAGTAAACTAATTTTATAAATTTTGTGAATTAGATATATCATTGGTTTATTGTTATGCTGATGATTTTTTTAATCATTTATCTCAAATTAATTTACATATTTTTAGGCTATTTTTCAATAATTTCATCGGTACCCACAAATCGCTCTCATGATCAACTACGTACCAACCTTCAAAACACACTTTGTCACGGGGAATTTCATTAGGATATTCTGTAGAAAACAAATATATATTTGAAGAATTTTCATGTTTATGTATGTAATATAATGTTTTTTCCATATATAAACTCTAACCGAATATTCCGTTTGGTCCGTAAAGTTCAATTCAATATATTAAATGCGTATAATTAAAAAGAGAGCAACGTCGGGCAACGCGACAAAAAAAGCAAGTTGCTTCCTTCTTTCATGTGACAATGGGCTAAGCCATACCTACATTTAACATTTTCACCAATGCACAGACAAGTTTGAATTTTAAAAATCTTGATTTTTATGTTTTTTCATATATATATATGCAGGTATATTTTAGCGTAATCATATTGTTAAAGTCAATATCTATCTAATCCGATTCCAGATAAATCCAACATAAAATTATCGAAACAAAATTTCAACTATTTTACATAACTTGTAGCTTGGTATTCACGTTATCGTTACTTCTAAAAATGTTGATTCTAATTATATGATAAATGCGAATTATATTTTTAAAATTTTGTGATAATATATATATATATATATATATATGTATTAAATAATCTATCATATTTATCGACAAGTTACATGTGCAATGTATCAATGAGGTAGGTGTTTCATTTATGGTTATGGTGGCAATATATATATATATATATATATGTATGTACACATATATACAATAAAATATCAAACGTATCATACTATCATTGTATGTAAGTTGGTGAGAAGATCTCATGATCCTTATGGACCTGCATGGCCATTAATAACCTTCATCTTTATATACTTCCTTATTTATACCGGCGGACCGTCATGCGTGGACCCAAAAGAAAGTTATATAATATTGCACGATAAATTCTCTGTATATGTAACTTTTAGATTTATTTGATAAACATGAGTAATAAATTTGCAAATTGTTAGGGTTTAACGGGAATCTTGAAATTATTGTCACATCTTAGTGGTTCAGTAGTCATTAATTCCTAGTAGATATAACTTTGAATAATAAGAAATTAGACATTAAAATGATAGATCGTGTGTATAGCTGTATATATCAACTACATGTATGAATATATGTTAGATATTGTGATATTCGCCGGATTTTATATTCAATATTATATATATATATATATATATATATATAGCAATTTGTGAAAGCAACGGATGCAAAGGGACAAAAAGAATTTAGGTAATGCAATAAATATGAACCTTTGCTCGGTGTCCCAAAAGAGATTCCCGATGTCTACGTGACTTGTCCTATTTTTATCCATGTATTTTCCAATGTATAATATTCATGATCTCATAGGAATTTTTAAATATACATGTACTATAAATATATATTTTACACAATAAAAAGTTTGTTAGATCAATCAATATTTTGTTTAGTAGATTAGTAATAATTATGTTAGAAAATGTTAAAGATTATATAATATTTATATATATATGTCAAATTTTTTTAAAGATTTAGAAAATAATTACAATGTTAAATTAGAATCCAAAGACAAATAAATATATGTTTCGTAACAAAATAAAGAATTAAAAATAAAAAATAAAAACCAGAAACTTCGGCATAGAAAACTAAATTTTAGGCATCCAAAACTAGTTTTTGAATATTTATCAATCTAAAATTGGATATTAAATTTTAGGTATAGAAAAAAGAGTCATGTGTGGTATTAATGCATTTTACGGCCAAGGTTGACAAATGGGGATTTAGATGCGAAGATTACCAACTTTTTTTTTATTTTTAAAAAAGAACATTTTTGAAGTCAACGAATAAAGTTTAGCTAGCAACGAACTTTTATAGTTAAAAAAATACACTATGAAGGTTTTTCCTCACTACGTTTTAATGCTTCTTCTTTTTTTTTATCAATCAAAGGAATGTGTTCATTTTGTTGAGCAAAAAAGAATAATAAGTTAGTTATTTTGTCTCGTTTCGAATTCGAACCTCAAATTTAGGAATAATAAGTTAGTTATATTCCAAATCCTTCCGATTCCAAAATTAGTCTAAACTTTAGACCCTAATATCTGGTTATCCAAAAAAAAAAATATTATACAATGCAGAACTAGAGAATTAATTAAGTGGAGGTAATTTTATTTTTATTATAAACAATATTAATTTTACGGGGGCATTATACAGTTTTATTTAAAATTTTCTATAATTTGTGTGGAAAACATATTTTTTAATTGGTTGAGTGGGGCATATACCCCATACACTACACTTGTATGTAGATCCGCCCATTGCAAACAATAAAATAGAAATTCCCCATGTGTGTCTGTATATATATATACATACATTTGTACGTGAGTGTCTATATATATACACATAACAAATGGTACGTAAACACACAATATATACATATATTTTCTATAAACAGCAAGTTAATTGACGGTTCAACCCAACTAAATCTTCTAGAGTTGTAAAACTATTTTTTGTTGTTTAGAATGCGCACGTATCATCGATCTCAACCACTTGCGTCGGTCCATTAGATAGCACCACTGCGCAGTCACGTATGTATGTGATTTTTCGGGGCCCGCGGCCGGGGGCTGTCAAGTTCAAGGTGTTCACTTCCGCAAGTACAAATGTAAATCTTTTGTTTCCGTAATTCAAAATTTTTATTTTTATATCTGAAATGTAATAGATTTAATCATTCGAATTAGAGTCTGATAGTAGTTTCCAACGTCTTACAGTATAATGTAAATATTCTTACATTTCGGGCATTAACTTAATTATTATGATGCAATAGAAATCCTTAGTGTGCATATATATATATATATATATATTGTGACTTTATTTATTTCATACCGTTTTAACAAACCGTATTTATGGCTTATTACATGTATTTGTCGATAAGTTTATTGTTGGCAACAAATGTAAAATGGTAGAGGCCGTTGGTCTCTGTTACCTAGCATTCAATCATGTCTTACTATAGTTAGAGTAAAATAACGGGTCTCTAACCTTTGCGACAAAAAGAAAGGAAAATATTAAATAATATTCAATAACTTTTTTTTGGTATGTATATATATATATATTTTGATACATTGGAAAACTTGCCCTACAATTCTTCGGATTGGACACCAGACACCATAACGCCTCACAGCCCAATGGGTCAGATGAAAACGACATCAGGACAGCATCAGGGACCAAGGAAAACCTCAAGCCCATGCACACGAGCCTGCAACACTGAGAGGTAAATCAGTCGTAACTGACAGGCGACAGATGAGAGATAAGGAGACGACAAGGAGTCGAACCCCCGACCTCATGGTTTCCCCTTATGTTCCTTAACTAATTCACCAGGGGGTTTTCCCTGGTATGTATATATTCAATAACTTGTATTGTATATGTTAAAATAACGTTTATAATTTTAAAGCTTATATATACATATATAAAGAAAGAATTCCGCGTGTACATGTTGCAAATGTTGGTCCCCTGTAGAAATAGTACTGGGTCCTAAATTTTCGAGGGAGGGGGGGCCTTTGTACGTGCAATTAATTTAGTGTAATGTGCATGAGAATGGGAGGAGGAAGAGGGACCACGAAGGCTGCCCTTTTCCCTCTGTTCTTACGCAAGAGAGGACGAAACGCACTTTTAATTCCGTTGTAACGTGGCTCGTTTCTCCACCGATTCGACGTCGTTTTCAACCTCGCAACTCTCTCTCTCTCCCTCTAGGTCTTTATATCAGTCATTTTGGTGACTCTCTTTGTCACGAGTCCAACCTCACCCTAAAGTGTCTCGCCTTTTTCTGTTCCTCTCTGTCTGCTCTCGCTTCGAGAGAGAGAGGGGGGGAGATGGGGAGAGCTCCGTGCTGTGAGAAAGTGGGGCTGAAGAGAGGGAGGTGGACTGCGGAGGAAGATGAGATCCTCACCAAGTTCATTCAAGCCAATGGCGAAGGTTCTTGGCGATCTTTGCCCAAGAAAGCCGGTACTAATCACTCTTACTTTACATATTAATCTCTTCCTAATTATATAACTGCTGTATAATCGATATACGTATAAGTACATATGCAATGGGATTGTGTGAAGGATGCAACATTACATGTAAGTTCCTTTCCCATGGTTTTGAGGGGAAAAAAAACGATGTCTATAACATTTATAATTATGCTCTGTTTGTGCATAAATGTGACAAACAAACAAAAAAATACGGTAATGTTATTGAATAAGAACCCTTATTGGTTTTCATTTATCCATGCAAAATTTAGTTACGTTATATTACATCGATGCATGAACTTAAAAAAAAAAATTACGTGCGAAGGTTTGCTGAGATGCGGAAAAAGTTGCCGGCTGAGATGGATAAATTATCTAAGGACGGACCTGAAGAGGGGAAATATCACGTCCCAAGAGGAAGAGATCATCGTCAAGTTGCATAACGCTATAGGCAACAGGTATATATTATCATTTTCAAAAAATAATATTAATCCAACTTAAATTTAAAATATTATTAAATTTTTCGTTTATCTACTATTTTGCCACGTACGGTCATGAAGGGTCGGGTGGAATGATACGTGCATGTCTCGTCAACGCACAAACATACACAGCAAGTTGTTCCTTTGTTGGACGTATGTGCATGTTCTCGGATATATATACACTCGTATTTTTGTCGGTCACGCGTATCTACACGCTACACATATATACATACACACGCTTTGTATCCATATAACTGTACAGCATTGACAAATGTGAAACTGTCTTGTCAGAAGGGCTAATCAAAATCCCATGTACGGATATCACGAATCAGATTAAATCAAATTTCTTACGGGACACGGATTTGACCCAAGAACATGAGATAGGCTGTATAGCATTGATTAGGCTAAGTGTCTCGTCTATAAATATAAAGTACTTAGAAATTTGAGATTTTATATTTTCCTCTCTACAGAATAATTAATATTTAAGCGTTTTATACTTTTAAGTCTACAAACAAGATTTAAACTTGTTACAGTTTGCCGTTTAAAATTTTTATTTTTAATCATTTTATAAAATAGTACATAATTTTTACGTCCACTAAAACAGCACATGAACTTAGTTTTTTTTTTTTTTACTAGAATAGGGTTTTGAAAGTTTTCAACTTTATATTCGAAAAAGGTTTCATAGTAAAATCTTAGAGGTATTTTTTTTATACATCGAAAATTAGAAAAAAGGTTTTAAAACAAACTTCATTATACCAAAGTCGACCAAAAAGTTGATAACATATGTAAGTTGATTTCCAGAGATGTGTGTTGCGTTTCGTGTTCTTTCTTTGGATCAACCTGAAAAATTCCATTGAACGTATGATTCCTACAGATGGTCGCTTATAGCAACATACTTACCAGGAAGAACAGACAACGAAATCAAGAACTACTGGAACTCGCATCTGAGCCGCAAAGTTTACACCTTTACGAACACGAAGCCCGGAGATGACACGAGTCTGATCCTCGACGAGATAATCTCCAAGACATCTTCTTCTTCTTCTTCTTGCAACCAGAAGAAGAAGAGGAAGAAGAAGGGAAGGACAAGTAGATCGGAGATGAAGAAACACAAGCAAATGGTGGCTTCATCGACACAGATGAAGACGACAGGAACGCCAAGTTTCGCCGTTGAGGTTCCGGGGGATCCATTATTTGGGGAAGACAAGACATGCCCAGATGGTGAAAGCGGACAGGGAAGTGAGATCAGCGAGAAAGGGCAAATGGGTCATTCGGAGGAGGACAGCTTGGGCCCGTACGAATGGCTGGACAACGAGATTGAGCGGCTCATGATGAGTAGTTGCGTATGGGAGGGCGAAGAGGTTGTTATTGGGTTTAATGGTACTGAGTTTCAGGACAAGATAGGTGAAAATGGGGACAGCATTAGTTGTTTTTTGGGTTTGTCCGAAGAAGAACAGGGTGGTGGGGCAGAGTTCAGTAACACGGCAACAAAAGTTGATGTTAACGCGGAAAGGGAAAGGGAAGGAAGTGTGTTGAGTTCAAATTCAGACGAAGGTTGTAATCCAGACTGGTGGGCTGATCTCTGCAGCTCGGAAGTCGGTCTTGGGATCGACGAGGAGTGGATTGATTGGGATTTCCAATATGGCCTCACATGTCAGAGCGATTTCTGGAATCTGCCAGCTGGCGTCGACGGAGAAACAGTTGTCTGATCAATCTGAAGAAGCGAGTTTAAGATCTTTGAACGTAAAGTTTCTGCTTTGTTTTGTCAGACGCCGCCGATTTGGCGAAGGAAGCATGGCTGTGTTGCAGAAGCTCCTGCAGTGGTGACGAAGAAGAAGATGATTGCATGAAGAAACGTTAGGGCAAATGTCGCTTTCTAGTTATAAGAAGTTTCAGATCAGATGCGTGTATTCTTTGATGATTCTTTCCATGTTTTCTGCTCTTTTTTTTTTTAAGGTCTGTTTTCGGTTTTCATGGTTTATGTGAAAAATACAGAATAATATAATTCGAATAATATCGATACAAAAGTATATTCTCCTGGATTCAAATATCAACCAAATAATATAATATCTCTAACATTGGATATCTTTGTAACATTTACCTATTTTGTTTTTTCAAATTATTCATATCAAGATTTATAAAACCCGAATTCGACACCGATTATGGGTAACCGATACGGTATTTTGTTCCGACCCTATCGACATTTCGAATACCGGTTTCTATTTGATTCGTTCATTTTCATTTTTTTTGAAAATTTATATATTTATTCGATTTTATTGAATTAAATTTGATTTCCACAACACTTTCCCGTCGCTTTTAATCTTCAATGGGTGACAATGATTTTTTTTTTTGTTTATTTAAAACAGATAATGACCAATTATTTATAGTTAGAGAAAAAATTTAGGACAACCCTTCTTATTTAAATTGATCTGCTTACGCTCCTTGTTGCGTTGTTCTTTCCCCTTTCCTTTCCCTCTCTCCCCTGTCATCTCTCTCACATTTCACTCTTCAAATCTCCAGATTTCAAGGGTTTATCTCCGACGATCTATACATACTCCTCTACGAGTGTGTGCGTAAATTGATCTCGAAATTTGGGTTCGCTTCGATCTCCGCTGTCGAGAGGGAGGAGACGAGGGGCCATGTCGCTGAGGCCGAACGCGAGGACGGAGGTTCGCCGGAACCGGTACAAGGTTGCGGTGGATGCGGAAGAGGGTCGCCGGAGGAGGGAGGATAATATGGTGGAGATCCGGAAGAACAAGCGCGAGGAGAGCTTGATGAAGAAGCGCCGCGAAGGTATGCAAGCACTTCAGGGCTTCCCTCCCGCCGCCGCCGCCGCCATCGAGAAGAAGGTAATCCTGGGTTTTTTTTCGATCTTGATCGGCTTCTGGGGTTTTCTTGTTGAATTGGTGTGGTCTACGATTTCGTTTGGGATTTGATTGAACAGCTCTCTGGGGGATTTGGATTAGGGTTTTAGTGTTGTTCTTTCCCCTTAAATTCTGATTCTCTCCTATTTCTTGATTTCTGGGTTTACATACTTGCAGTTGGAGAGCTTGCCGGCTTTGGTTTCTGGGGTTTGGTCGGATGACCGAACGTCGCAGCTAGAGTCCACTACTCAGTTCCGGAAGCTTCTGTCTATTGGTACTTCCGTCTGTTTCTCTCTCTTATTTCTTCGATTTAGATTCATATTGTGCTTTATCATTGCTCAAGTGTCTGCCTTTCAACTTTGTTACTGTCGGTATTATATCTGTTAAGAGAGAAGCCCTCCTATCGAGGAAGTGATACAATCTGGAGTTGTGCCTCGGTTCGTTGAGTTTCTTAAAAAGGAGGATTTCCCCCAGCTTCAGGTGGGAGAACATCTGTTTCTGTCGTTTGTATTGGTCTTCGTCATCAGTGTAGCCTTCCAGTTTTTTGGTGCTATATGATCATTTTTTAGTTCGAAGCGGCTTGGGCACTTACAAACATTGCATCTGGAACATCGGAGCACACGAAGGTAGTGATTGATCACGAGGCTGTTCCGATCTTTGTCCAGCTTCTTGCTTCCCCTAGTGATGATGTCCGGGAGCAGGTATGGTACTTGCAGTGGTTATGATTGTTTTACCTCCTTGGTATTGGAGATAATATGCATGGAATTTGAAGAAGACTGGTCTCAGATTTACATACTTGAACTGGGTATGCTTTCTATGAACCTGTAGGCGGTATGGGCATTGGGAAATGTTGCTGGTGATTCTCCGCAGTGCCGTGATCTTGTTCTCAGATGTGGGGCACTGATGCCATTGCTGGCTCAGATGAATGAGCATGCCAAGTTGTCCATGCTGAGAAATGCCACCTGGACTTTGTCGAACTTCTGTCGTGGCAAGCCTCAGCCTCAGTTTGATCAGGTTATTTTGTTTTACCATTTCTCTTTGAACAACTTTATAAGCATTCAGTCGGCGCCCTTTAACATGTAAGGAATGGTTAATAGGTGAAACCTGCACTTCCAGCCCTTGAACGCCTTATTCATTCGAATGATGAGGAGGTCTTGACAGATTCCTGTTGGGCACTCTCGTACCTTTCTGATGGTACAAATGACAAGATTCAAGCTGTAATCGAGGCTAATGTCGTCCCAAGACTTGTTGAGCTTCTACTGTCAGTATTTTCTTTTTCATTTCTGTTAGTTTCTTGTACCTTTTGACATGTGTTTGCCATCATTCAATTCAATGCAATCTGACAATGTCTTCTATTGCTTTGCAGTCACCCTTCTCCATCTGTGCTCATTCCTGCACTTCGTACCATTGGAAATATAGTTACAGGAGATGATTTACAGACCCAGGTAAATTGCTCTTGAATCCAGATACCTCCTCATTAGAGTACTTTTGTTGTGCAATATGTGGATGTTGATTTATTATCCTCTTTATTTATTTCATGGAAGTTGAACGAAACATTTGATGATTTAGTTTTGGTTGCAGCAGAAGCATCTTGAACTTTGTTGATTTACCATTTGTAGTATCTAATCTGGAGTCCAGACTGTTTTTTTTTTTTATATATACTGGTTGAAAATGTAGGCGAATTATTATTGGATCCTCCTTAAATGTAATGCCACGCGCAACATATCATAAAAACAATAGGACCATTCTATTCTTATCATCTCGTTAAACTTGCTGCTTGTGTCTAATGGTACTGTGCTAAGCAAAAAACTGACATCTAAATGTAATATTTCCAAAATATGAATCTTTTTTAAGTATATTTATAGGCAAAGACAAAACTTTTATGCATCTGAAGGGCTTTATTTCGTTTAGTTTACTTGCATCTCAAGTTACTGAATTAGCTCCCGTGAATGCCTTGTCCAGTGGGTAATCAGTAGTGGCGCTCTCCCTTGCTTGGCTAACCTGCTTACGGAAAACTCTAAGAAAAGCATAAAGAAAGAAGCTTGCTGGACCATTTCAAACATCACAGCTGGCAACAAGGAACAGATTCAGGTGAGCAATTCCTTCCTACTTGTTCATTCCATTCCATGTACTTGCTGAACCATTTCAAGCATCACCGATGGGTCTGCTTAATCTTATGGGGACAGGCAAAGATATTATTGAGTCCAATATCGGCTCGATATGATTATGTACTTGCTATATGTAATCGTGTTTTAATTAGTGTTCTGTTTTTTTTTAACGACTGCAGGCAGTAATCCAGGCTGGTTTAGTTGCTCCCTTGGTCAACCTCCTTCAAAATGCCGAGTTTGACATAAAGAAAGAAGCAGCTTGGGCAATTTCAAATGCCACCTCAGGTGGTTCTCATGATCAAATCAAGTAGGTCACTTTTTTTTTTGTGCGTTCCTTTTCTCGAACTCCTCTCTTGCTCCTTCGTTGTTTCCCTTATGAGGTTTCGTTGTTTCAGATACTTGGTGGAGCAAGGATGCATAAAACCATTGTGTGATCTCCTGGTATGCCCAGATCCAAGAATCGTCACTGTCTGTCTGGAAGGACTGGAAAACATTTTGAAGGTTGGAGAGACAGAGAAGAACTCGGGTCGCGTGAACTATTACACCCAGCTTATCGATGATGCTGAGGGACTGGAAAAGATCGAGAACTTGCAGAGCCATGACAACAATGAGATCTACGAGAAGGCAGTCAAGATCCTCGAGACATACTGGGTCGAAGAAGAGGAGGATACAGTACCTCCGGGAGATGGGTCTCAACCGGGATTCGAGTTTGGGGGAAACCAAGTTCATATTCCATCGGGTGGATTCAACTTTGGCTGAAGGTTAAAAAAACCCTCCAGCTACAGAACCTCCAGACATGAAACTAGGTGATTAATCCGACAAAAACTGCAGGGAATTTTTGAAGGTTTGGTTTTGATGGGAGGTTAATGTGAAAGGACAGAGTCAGAGTCGGGTAGGTTGAATCTTGAAGAGGACAGAGCCGAAGAGAAGAAAGCTTTCGAGGTATGGAAGCTTGAAATCCCTTTCCCACCATATGTGCACTCCATCCCTGAGGCTATCTTTCTATTTCAAGATTTATTTGTTTCTGTTTCCTTTTTTTAGATTTTGGGGTTATGTATACTGAAGAGTCTTCTTGTGTTCATGTGCGGTGGTGGGTTTTGTTTTGTACGATGGTAAGTTGGTAACCTATACACAGTATCTGTCTTTGTTCCAAAATCTGGTTGGGCATGAACGCATAAGCAACTTCAATATATGTATATATGTGTGTATAACTTTCATAGATGGGCTTGGCCCAAAATAAACAAAGTGAAAATCCATCTTTTGGATCTAATCTAACATCGGATTGATGATAAACCGGCTCGGTACAGTGGTTGTATATATCCAGGTAAAGCTGTATGCGGGTGATAGCGTTGTATCTCGGTTAGGATCTCGCTCTTTTGTGTAGTTGTGAAATATCCGGTTTACCATTTAAAGGAGATTTGGATGCCAATCTGTTGAATGATCCAATCCACTATTAAGAGAAAATGTCCTCAGCCAATGTGGATCATTTTGTTCGTTATACCGACCAACCGGTTTACTTTGTACCGGTGGTCGAATTGGAGTGCCCAGTGGGCCCCGTAAAATCCACCATCTCACGTGCTACACAGCTAATTTTTTCACATTTTCTTCCACGTCATAAAATTATTAGAATTATTGGAGGAAGAAAATAGAGCAATAAAGAATGACAAATGGTCAAATGTCAAATGAGTAAACAATCGTATATTACGGCAACCGTCGATCAGTACTATTAGAATGGGCTCTAGATGTTTCACCTCAATCTCATTGTCTGGAAAACCATCTTACGGCGGGTCACGAAACACTGAATATTTGATCTGACCATTTTCACCGTTGTAATAAATTTCCGTTGTTTTATTATCTAAATTATTTCTTATGACTGTTAAAAAAACATATATGCAAAATAAATTAGTAAAATTGTGTTCGTGATGATAATAACTGTAATTTAAACTGTATAATAGATTGCGTGATCTTGATAAATTAACTATTATTTGTATAATGTTATATCATAGAATTAATTAATTGATTAATAGAAATTAGACAAATAAATCATAGTTGCAGAATCATCAATAAATCATACCGACAAAATAGAGTAATAAAGAATGACAAATGGTCAATGTCAAATGAGTAAACAGTGGTGTCTTACGGCAGCCGCCGACCAGTACTGTCAGAATAGGATCTAGATGTTTCACCTCAATCTCATTGTCTGGAAAGCCATCTGACGGCGGACCACGAAACACTGAATATTTGATCCGATCAGTTCCACAGTTGTAATAAATCTCCGCTGTTTTATTATCTAAATTATTTCTTAGACCATTAAAAAAACAGAAAAGGAAGTTTGTTACTTCATTTCAAGGATAATCATATGCAAAATAAGTTAGTAAAATTGAGTTCGTGATGATAATAACCGTAATTTTAACTGTATAATAGATTGTGTAATCTTGATAAATTAACTATTATTTGTATAATGTTATATCATAGAATTAATTAATTGATTAATAGAAATTAGACAAATAAATCATAGTTGCAGAATCATCAATAAATCATATCGACAAAATAGAGCAATAAAGAATGACAAATGGTCAATGTCAAATGAGTAAACAGTCGTGTCTTACGGCAGCCGCCGACCAGTACTGTCAGAATAGGATCTAGATGTTTCACCTCAATCTCATTGTCTGGAAAGCCATCTGACGACGGGCCGCAAAACACTGAATATTTGATCCGACCAGTTCCACAGTTATAATAAATCTCCACTGTTTTATTATCTAAATTATTTCTTAGACCATTAAAAAACAGAAAAGGAAGTTTGTTACTTCATTTCAAGGATAACCATATGCAAAATAAATTAGTAAAATTGCGTTCATGATGATAATAACCGTAATTTTAACTGTATAATAGATTGCGTAATCTTGATAAATTAACTATTATTTGTATAATGGTGTATCATAGAATTAATTAATTGATTAATAGAAATTAGACAAATAAATCATAGCTACAGAATCATCAATAAATCCTACCGACAAAATAGAGTAATAAAGAATGAAAAATTGTCAATGTCAAATGAGTAAACAGTCGTGTCTTAAGGCAGCCGCCGACCAGTACTGTCAGAATGGGATCTAGATGTTTCACCTCAATCTCATTGTCTGGAAAGCCATCTGACGGCGGGCCGCGAAACACTGAATATTTGATCCAACCATTTCCACAGTTGTAATAAATCTTCGCTGTTTTATTATCTAAATTATTTCTTATGACCATTAAAAAAATAGAAAAGAAAGTTTGTTACTTCATTTGAAGGATAATCATATGCAAAATAAATTAGTAAAATTGCGTTCGTGATGATAATAACCGTAATTTTAACTGTATAATAGATTGCACACTGAATATTTGATCCAACCATTTCCACAGTTGTAATAAATCTTCGCTGTTTTATTATCTAAATTATTTCTTATGACCATTAAAAAAATAGAAAAGAAAGTTTGTTACTTCATTTGAAGGATAATCATATGCAAAATAAATTAGTAAAATTGCGTTCGTGATGATAATAACCGTAATTTTAACTGTATAATAGATTGCATAATCTTGATAAATTAACTATTATTTGTATAATGTTATATCATAGAATTAATTAATTGATTAATAGAAATTATACAAATAAATCATAGCTACAGAATCATCAATAAATCCTACCGACAAAATAGAGCAATAAAGAATGAAAAATGGTCAATATCAAATGGCCGGCGCCCGCCGATCAGTACTGTCAGAATGGGCTCTAGATGTTTCATCTCAATCTCATTGTATGGAAAGCCATCTTACGGCAGGTCGCGAAACACTGAATATTTGATCTGACTATTTCCAGAGGTGTAATAAATCTCCGCTGTTTTATTATCTAAATTATTTTTTATGACCATTAAAAAACAAAAAAAGAAGTTTGTTACTTCATTTGAAAGATAATCATATGCAAGATAAATGAGTAAAATTGAGTTCGTAATGATAATAACCGTAATTTTAATTATATAATAGATTGCGTAATCTTGATAAATTAACTATTATTTGTATAATGTTATATCATAGAATTAATTGATTGATTAATAGAAATTAGACAAATAAATCATAGCTGCAGAATTATCAATAAATCCTACCGACAAAATAGAGCAGTAAAGAATGACAACTGGTCAATGTCAAATGAGTAAACAGTCGTGTCTTACGGCAGCCACCGATCAGTACTGTCAGAATGAGTTCTAAATGTTTCACCTCAATCTCATTGTCTGAAAAGCCATCTTACGGTAGGTCGCGAAACACTGAATATTTGATCCGACCATTTCCATTGTTGTAATAAATCTCCGCTGTTTTATTATCTAAATTATTTCTTATGACCATTAAAAAAAACAGAAAAGGAAGTTTGTTACTTCATTTCAAGGATAATCATATGCAAAATAAAATAGTAAAATTGTGTTCGTGATGATAATAACCATAATTTTAACTGTATAATAGATTGCGTAATCTTGATAAATTAACTATTATTTGTATAATGTTATATCATAGAATTAATTAATTGATTAATAGAAATTAGACAAATAAATCATAACTGCAGAATCATCAATAAATCATACCGACAAAATAGAGTAATAAAGAATGACAAATGGTCAAAGTCAAATGAGTAAATAGTCGTGTCTTACGGCAGACACCGATCAGTACTGTCAGAATGAGTTCTAGATGTTTCACATCAATCTCATTGTCTGGAAAGCCATCTTACGGTGGGTCGCGAAACACTGAATATTTGATTCGACCATCTCCACAGTTGTAATAAATCTCCGCTCTTTTATTATCTAAATTATTTCTTATGACCATTAAAAAAATAGAAAAGAAAGTTTGTTACTTCATTTCAAGGATAATCATATGCAAAATAAATTAGTAAAATTACGTTCGTGATGATAATAACCGTAATTTTAACTGTATAACAGATTGCGTAATTTTGATAAATTAACTTGTATAATGTTATATTATATAATTAATTAATTGATTAATAGAAATTAGATAAATAAATCACAGCTGCAAAATCATCAATAAATCCTACCGACAAAATAGTGTGACTAAGACTAATTAACTGAAGTCATTGCTATTTACTTAAATTAATTCAACTCAAATCAAGGTAACACACAAAAATAAACAAATAACTCGCTGTAGAGATAATAATAATTCTTTGTTTTTATTAACGGTAAATTAAAATGATAATTAACATAAAAAAAAAACTAAATACAGATTTGTAAAAAGATTAAGAAAAGATTAAAAAAGAAGTACGTTGAAGTAAACTAAAAAAAATGTTCATTTGATCCAACATTTTGCTCATCGATTGACGAAATAATTAAATCGAAAACCCCTCGGATCGGACCATCTCCCTCGTTTTCTCGTCCGAATCTGACAAAATTTCCGTCAAACCAAACAGAGCATGACGAGAAACCCAGCGTAACAAAACATGGAAACCGAGATCTGACCCGACCCGGATGCTGCCGGAGGAGTATGATAGTAAAACGGGAAGTACGGCACGATCGGATTCGGCGGAGGCGGCGCCGGATAATTGCCGTAGTACGGCGGAGGATAATAAAACCCTTCGCCTTCTCCGTACGGCGGAGGAGGGTACTTGTTGCCGGACTGAGACGGCGACTGAGGAGGATAGTAGTATCCGCCGCCTCCGGAGCTGGGGGGAGGAGGAGGCGGAGGGCAGATGGAGGTGGTCGCCGGCGGCGGAGGAGGAGAAGGGACAGGGTTACATGGGTTGTCGCAAGAAGAGCACATTGTGCAGGAGACCTGGTCCTTTGATGACGTCACTGTTGAAATCACTGAGAGCGGCAGTGACAGAAGCAGGAGGAGAAGAGCAGGAGACAAACCGGAGAATCTGGTTTCTTCCATTTCCCAGAAACTTCGTTTTCGACGAACAACACGGATGTACAAACTAATTTTATTAGAAATTTTCAGAGATTTTGGAGTACTCCAAAAAGATCCAAACTTTCTCGAGAAAATTCGAATCCGAAGAGCGTTTTTCTTTTTATTGAGGATTTAATTTATTTAAATATTGACGATAAAAGTTTTTTTTTAACAGAAAAAGGTGACGCGGATTTGTTTTTTACTTTAAAACAAAAGGTGTTGTAATAGCGCACGCATTTTAGGGGTATTTGCGTCATTTCAGGTACTTGATCACCAAATGACGATAATACCCTTGTTCCGTGTGAAGCGAGTAGGGCTGGAAAGGGAAAAAGGAAATGTTCCGGGTAAACATGGCGGGGCTTGACTTTTTTACATATGTACACGTGTAATATTTTTATTGATTGAATGAATGATTACGTGGCTGCGCAGAGAGTAGACGTGGGAGTGACGGAAGTTTCGTGGGCCCCTCTCTGTCAAAATTCCTAGTTTCGGGTTTAAATTAATTGACCATACTATGTGTTGATTGCGTAATAATTAATCCCTAACCCAATCAATAGTAACTATAAGTGGCATTATTGAACATCACAGATTTCATTTATTCTAACCATTTGCATTAAGATTACATTTATAATATAAATCAAACTATGACGTGTGATTAATATATTTTTTTTAATTTTGAATTCAGTGCAATCTATGATATATTCTCTAGAATTAGAACTCCAAAACATTTTGAGAAACTCATAATTTTAATCGATACCATTTTATTTTTTTACACCATATCCATATAATCCATATATATAAATATACAACATTTACTTTTTATCTGATTTGTTGAAAAATATATTTGAAAACAGAAAATACAAAAAAACAATCCATTTAAAAAAACATCTATTTAAAATTTTACAAATCCACAAATATAGATAAATTTGTATTTTTTTTAAAACATAGAAACTCCTATATTTATTAATATATCAATTGAAAATGTTTTATTTTGAATTTTGTATAGTTGAGATTTTAAATATAATATTTTCAAAAGATAAAAGTCTTTTCAGATAACAATTCATTTTGGATTAGTGAATATCTAAACTTTAAATGGATATTCTAAAAATTAAATGGATTTTTTGGGGTGTTGAAAACAATAAAAAAAAAATCAACCACCAAAATTGCAGGGTGAAAACTATATACACAAAAGGGACCAAACAAAGAAACTAACGTAAAAAAATAAGAGAGAGATGAATAGGAAAGAAGGGTATCAATCGTCGTTGTTGGTTGGCGAAATTGTTCGTAAGAGAGAGAGAGAGAGAGAGAGAGAGAGAGAGAGAGAGAATGTTTATGATTGGTCTCTTTGTTGGATTGATAGAGATTTCTGTGCTCACTTTATTCGACTCCCTCACATGCTTACTCTCTTGTTTTATATATATATATATATTTTTTATTTCAAGTTTCTTTTAATTTCACTTATATATATATATCTATATATATATATATATATAATATTATGCACTAATGTGTCTCTCATTAATCATCGACAAACCTGTCTATGTATAAAAGATTTTGATCTTCTATACCTTTCGCTCATGGTGATGTATTATTGCACTTATATTCTCTTATACAAAGAAAAACTTAGTCGTAACTGCGAATATCCAAAAATCAAATATTTAAATCATACAACATTCGTATAACCGTAATATCCATAAATATCGAATACTTCAGATTTTTCATTGTACCTCGAATAATTACTAAAATATTCTATATATTTATTGAAATTACATGAAACATTTTAAAATTGCAAAATTATTTTTTGTTTTCTTGAAAATTATAAAAACATTAAAACATTAAAATACATCATTACCATTATTTTTTATTATAAAATTTGGGTTTAGACCTATGAATATTTCGAATTGAGTTTGATTTTTTTTTTAAATTTGGATATTTAATTTATTCCCACTCTAATATATACACGACGGTAAACGATAACTTTTTCCAGCTGTTCGAAAAAAAAAGGACAAAAGTTTGCTCTCATATGTATCTGTATTGGTGGGTGGTGCACATTAGTTGCATATAAAATATAGAGGGCTTTAATAATAAAAAAGACAAAAGTTTATATATTATTATGTTTTATATTTGATTTAAATTATTATATTTTATATTTAGTATAAATATTTTATAATTAATCTATATATACACATAAAAATCAACCATAACTATTCGAATTAGGTTATTTTTGAATATCAGTTAATGTTACCTTTATTATCGTTCAAACGGTATCATTCATTTAGTCAATACCCTAATTAATGGAGCTATACTTTCCTTTTCCACCCCTAAACACAACAGATTCAAATGTTTCACACTAATCACAATCATATGGCAAAAGTGTTCAATAAAATCATCAAGAAACTAATTTGCCACAAATATATAGAATTTTGAAAGAAAAAAAAGGTTGGGAAATTATGGAATGAGTGCAATTAACGTGCGTGCCACGAGTTACAAAGATTTCGTCGTGCGTCCTACGAACAGTAACACCATGAGCACCACATTATGCAGCGAATTACATTCATTATTCAAAGTGAATAAACCTAAAATCAAGATCTTCGATTTGTTTTCATATGGGTATTTAGATTACTCCAAAAAGATCCAAACTTTCTCGAGAAAATTCGAATCCCACTAATCAAAGCCGATTTTCTCGGGAAAACGACATGGGTTTGTACAACAATAACTTTGCTTTCTCCATCCTTTTGGGCCTGGTTTTTCTGTTCGCGGCCGCACCACCGTCGGCGTCGCAGCTCACTCCGGCGGCCGTAGCTCCGCCCCCGTCACTATCGCCGGAGGAGATGTGCAACGGAATATTCCTCTCCTACACCTTCCAACGTGGTCTCAAGATTCCACCAAACGACTCGACCGATCAACCGTACCGGTTTGAGTCGCTCCTCATGGTGCTCAACAACGGCCGAGAGGAACTCAAGGAGTGGAGGGTCTTTGTCGGATTCAGACACCGCGAGATCCTCGTCTCTGCCACCAACGCATTGCTCGTAAACGGAACGGATTTGCCCGCCCCCGTAGGAAACGGCACCGTTTTCGGGGGATACCCAGTTTCAGATCTCAAGACAGCGATTCAGACGGCAGGGGACTTGAACCAGTTTAGAGCTTTGGTCAGCCTCGTCGGAACTCAGTTTGGAGTGGCGCCTCCGGCAGCTCCGTTGCCGGGAAACTTAACGCTCGTCAACGACGGTTGGATTTGTCCGATGCCTACTCTTCAACCTAGTAATGATTCCCTCTAAATCTGAGCTCCTCTTTCTATTCATTGTTCTCTTAGTTTTTTTTTTGTATGAATTGTTCTCTTAGTTCTTTACAAAATAATAATAATAATAAATATTCGCATATTGCATTACATAACCCTTTATTTCCTTGTAGGGATGTTTTAAATTCAATTTTAAATATGTTATGTAATTTGGATATTTAGTTTTGTATGTTACTTTAGCATCTATAGCTATGCGGGTGATATGCGGGGTCGTATATAGTTTCTGGCCTTATATATTCACATTCCACAAAGAAATATCCATTTTTTTGGTAGATAATACATATGATATGTTTTTACCTTATATATCATGTAATTAGATTTACATAAATTTAATATTTACGTGAAGTAATAATAATAATAATAATAATAATAATAATAATAATAATAATAATAATAGTAATAGTAATAATAATAATAATAATAATCACCATCATGTCGTTTCAGGCAAAACCGAGATGACCACATGTTGCACGAGAGACCCAAGTATCAAAGTCAACGACACGATCTCCGATAACTTCCTGCCACGTCAGACCGGCGACCTGACCATAATGTACGACGTAGTCCGAGCCTACGACCAAAACTACTTAGCCCAAGTCACGATCGAGAACCACAGTCCACTGGGCCGATTGGACCATTGGCAACTAAGCTTCGATTGGAAACGGAACGAGTTCATCCAGAAAATGCAAGGCGCTTATCCCACAGTTGTCGACGCCACGGGCTGTATCTACGGCACGCAAGCTCAAGTCTACACAAATCTCGATTTTGCCGACGTTATCAGCTGTGAGAGACGACCCGTCATCGTTGACTTGCCTCCCACGAAAGCCGACGACCCAACGTACGGGAAGATACCTTCTTGCTGTCGGAACGGTACGATCTTGCCACGTGTCATGGACCCAAGCAAATCGGCGTCTGTTTTCCTGATGCAGGTCTTCAAAATGCCTCCGGATTTTAACAGCTCGGCGTTATTCCCACCGCAGAATTGGCAGATCAACGGTATGTTGAACCCGGATTACCAATGCGGGCTTCCGATCCGGGTCAGCCCGAGTTTATACCCGGATCCGAGTGGAATCGAGACTAACAAAACGGCTTTCGCCAGCTGGCAAGTTGTGTGTAACATTACACACCCGAAAAACGCGATCCCCAAATGCTGCGTTTCGTTTTCAGCGTTCTACAACGACTCAATCGTGCCTTGCAAGACCTGCGCTTGCGGTTGCGGCTCCGAAACGCAGACGACGCGAACGTGTAGCGCCACATCGCCCGCACTTCTCATACCGCCGGACGCGCTTCTGGTGCCGTTCGAGAACCGGACTGCGTTGACGGTTGCGTGGGCCGCACTCAAGCACTACCCTGTCCCAAACCCTATGCCCTGCGGCGACAACTGCGGTGTTTCGATCAATTGGCATCTGGCGTCGGACTACAGAGGAGGGTGGACGACGAGGGTAACGATCTTTAATTGGGAAGAGATCAATTTTCCTGATTGGTTTGTAGCCGTTCAAATGGATAAACTGGCTGTTCCAGGGTATGAGAAAACGTACTCCTTCAACGCGAGCGTTATGAGCGTTAACGGCGGTGTGAACAACACGATTTTCATGCAGGGTCTTCCCGGTATGAATTATCTGGTTGCTGAGACAGACGGTTTGGATCCGGACAAGAACCCTAGAGTTCCCGGGAAACAACAGTCAGTTATACAGTTCAGTAAGAAACACACGCCGGGGGTTAGGGTTCCGGAGAGGGATGGTTTTCCGGCGAAAGTGATATTTAACGGAGAAGAGTGTTTGCTTCCCGATGTATTTCCAACGGCCGGCGGTAACAGGATCAAGAGATTTATGGTTTTGCCCTTCCTCGCGGTGGTTCTAACCACGATCCTGATGCTCACGCAGCGGTAACTTGGGGATTAAGCAAACTGCTATGGTGTTTTTAGGGCTTGTAATATGGTTTCCCGGTCCATTTATACACTGGTTTTGTCATATAAAGTTCGGATGTTGGACACGTGATTGTTTTCTCAATCATTATTGAATAGTCGACATAGACAATCAATTTTTCTGATTTCACGTTAGTTAATCAATGAGTAATCTATATCTATGATATTTTTTACAGATTAATTCATAATATATGTATATGTATGATTTATGAATTAATTCATCATAATATACAACACACACACACACACACATATTATATATTATATTTTTGACCATATGGTTATATATTATATATGTATGAGAAATTTTGTTGATGATTAATCTCTTAGCCTATTTTACTTCGAAACAAATTTGGTGTACGTCTATATATATATATACACACGAAACTTTCATCTACCTCTAAATCAAATATTGAGTAATCTACAGCACAGCAGTGTGTATAAAGAGAGAATATGTATATATTTTATTAATAATTAATCAATGAACGTCGTTAATTACTTTAAAGACAAATTTAATATAAATAAAATCAAAATTTATCTTCTTGGAGATCAAATCTGGAGTTATTTTCTCTTTTTCCGTAGGTGAATATTAAAATCAAGAGCAAGAAATGATCATTGCATGAACAAGAATATCGGGATTAAAAAAATATCGGAATCAAATGCAATTTTATAGTAGTCTATATATATTCAAAAATCGAATGTGGTGTTCGATTTTCTCCAATATACTAGTAGAACTGTTACCGTAGATTGGATCGTTTATTTTGAATATGCTAAATTTAGAATCGTTTTTTTTTATTAATATTTAGATCATAATCCTAAAAAATCTATAGTATCTTGAGAAAAATCAAAGTAAAATCATAAAATTCATCATGTCCAAACCTATATATAAATCCACAACATCTTCTGCATCGTACGTCGCTTTGAACATTCACTTCTTCCACACGGCAGAAAAAATGACATTTTCATGTTCTTTTTGTTTGTCAACTTCTGTTTCTACGACCATTACAGAAAGTTAACCTCCTAACCAATTCCCATAATCATGTCGTCCGATCAGATTTTCCAACGTTGTACACATCAAACTCGAGTTCTCGCGCATAAAATCGAGGAATTCACGAGGCTTAACTTTGATCCGGAATGGAGATCCTACCACTCTGGAGGCTCGTAAAATCTCGAAGATAATTGAAACGACGTTGTATCGTTCCGATCGATCAAGGTGTAAGGAAACAGACCATAAATTGTTACTCCTTTTCTGCGTGCGTTCATTTGATTTTGAAATCCATTTTCATTTTGTTATATATACTTTATTTCTGTGTATATGTGATTTAGCTTCTGCATGAGTAAATTGCATGAATTGCTTCGAAACTAAAAAAAATATACAACAATCGATTTCCTTTGATTCCCTTGGTTGTTTTGTTACGTTTGGTAAGTAGGTTACTTGTGAGACCCAACAGCTTGTGGGCGAGTGGTCAACAGTTGGGTGCAAAGCACTAAGAGGTTGGCGGTTCGATTCCTGGTTGGGGAGAGGTTTTCATGCCCCGGTCCTCTGGAAGATGTAGTTGGGCCAAAGCCCGATGAACTTCCGGATTATAAAAAAAAAAAAGTAGGTTACTTGTGGATACGTCTAAAATTAGTCATATTTAAACTTCTTATAAAATTCATGAGAATTAATTAGTATTAATTGTAATATTAATTGTTAACCTTAGATCATGATCAATTATATGTGAAAAATCTATCGCATAAATGACCATAATGTGAAATATAAAACTGAACTTTGATCACGACATATTTTACCATTTATGAGATCGAATATTCGATCAGAATTTTGAATGTTTCAAAAACTTTAGCAAAAAAACAGTAGATGGTGTATGTCTGAAATATTTTGTAATTAGGTTTAGAGAGTCATAATACGTAAAACCCTTTATTTAATGTTATGATCATCATCACACTATAATGGGAGGTAATGAAATAACTTCTAACATTATTGGAAATTAAAACTTGCAACATTAATTGTATGTGAACTACAACAAAACCAAACTAATACTCCATCAGTTTCTAAATAAATGAAGTTTTAGATTCTTTTTCTCACAACTGTTAAGGAGATGTACGTTAGATATTTTTAAATTAAGGATAAAATTGTAATTTTTTTTAAATAATTTAGAAAATCTAAAACTAAAACGAAGTCCATTTAATAACAAAATATATTCTGTAGAATGCAATTTATTCAACGGATATGGAGTATTTTTTTTAAATGTCCCATGTATAACAATGTTTTTTCTTTCTCGTGTCCAAAATAACATTTGTTTGGACTTCTAATTCGGACGATTACCCCAAAGGGTATTTTTTTTTAAGAAATAGATTTAAGAGTTGGATCTTATATGGAAGACTAGTTTTATCAAATGGATATGGTGCCACTTTCAGTTAGGGGTGGGCGTTTCGGGATTCGAGTCGAAATTTTAGCGGTTCGATTCGAAAACAGTTTATTCGATATTCTAAAATTTTTACCAAATTAGTACCGTATATTATTTGATTCGGTTGGGTTTCGGTTCCGCTATAGTTCGGTTTCGGTTTTTGTTAAAAAAATTTAGATTTTCTTAAGAAAATTTATTTTTTCGGAAATTTTATAAAGTTCGGTTCAGTTCGGTTCGATTCGTTTCGATCATATAAAAATCATACCGTCAGAAATTTTAAACAGTACGGTTCGAAAAAAAATACCGAAATTTTTGATTTGGTACAGTTCGGTTCCGAAGAACCGAACCGAAAACGTACATCCCTAGTTTAAGTGGTTTCATTACAAAAAGCTGAATTTACAAACTACAATATCCGCGTTTATTCCCAAGAAAGCCGATCGATCGCGCCAGGAAAATGTAGTGTGAGCTTATTTCTTCATGTAATAACCATTAAAGTTGAACCCTCCATTGAAGTTTTGTTGCTGCAAACGACAGACAATAAGATTAAAACAGTTACATGAGCTGTGGATCCTTAACTGTGAAAGATTGATAGTGTGTCAGAACAATAAAACCTAACCTGGTTAGCACCTTGAAACTCAGATTTCGGTATCATCTGATCACTGGAAGATGATGTCGAAGGAGGCTGTGGGTCGAGATATTGGCCGACGTTTTCCGCACAAGGTTCAGCATTGTGTAAGAGAGAAGACAAATCATGGGAAATGGGCAATGGCGGATCGATGATAGGGTCCAGACCGATGTCATCGAGGTTCCAATCAATAGGGTTTCCTTGGAAAAAGCTGTCCATCATTTCACTGTCTTCCTCATGATTGCCCACCAGATTCATAGTCGTTTCCATAGTATTGTTACTGCTACCGTTACCTATGTTTTGCAATCCGGGAACTGCAACAGAAACCCGGTCAAACAGAGCGGGTTGCCCTAATGGCGGCGGAGGCGGATGTGCAAGAACATGATGATGGTTCATACTGATCTGGGGATATGCAGAAACTGTCGACGTGTAGATGCGGAACTTGATCGTATCGTGGTCTCGGGTAGGGATTCGCCATGGCTGAGGTCGGATTATGCATCTGCTGCGGGTACATCAATCGTGTGGGGTTTTGATGCATCGTCGTTGAGGTGTTCCCGCTGAGAGAAGGTGGTGGAGCTGAGTAGTAATTTCTGGCCGGGGGACATAACAAGGGGCGTTTCATGTTCTCTATATATATATATTAGTTCTAATATTATCTCCGCTAAATTAGCTGTGGTTGTTTTTGTAACAACGTTTTGTTACTGTAAAAAAAATATTTCATTGATAATTGTTTTAGTATTAGAGTTCAAATTCTAAGCTGCGAACGCATTTTTTGAAATTCAAAAGTTGAGGAAAAAAATCATTAACATCTATAAATTTTGAAAAAAAAATCGTAACAACCCTAATTATTGCGGATATTGTTTAGTTATTTAAATATACGAATTTATTGGAGTAATCGGTTTCCTAGAATATATATATCGGCAAAAGGGTTCGAGATTTGACATTAATTGTAGAATCGTTTATTTAATTACCTGGAGATGACTGGCGACATTTTCTCTTGTGAGACTCTCATCATTCATTATCTCCAAGATTTTCTTTGGAACAGCCTCTATACGAAAATAAATCAAACGGCATATAAATATAAATATAATATATATATATATATTACAAAACCCTAAAATTGATATGAACTCAAACTCACTGTCAACTCCAAGCTGATTGACAGCATCCAGAAACTGGCGATGAAGATCGGTAGACCAAATCACTCTTCTCTTTTTCGAAACCCTACCATGCACGTGATCGTTGTTGTCGTGTTCTTCGTCGAGGGTCTTCTTCTTTTTAGGGTTTGTGAAACAAGAGGACGAGACCTCACCCTTCTCTTCTTCCGCACGTCCTAGAACTTTCTTAGCCACGTGTTTGTATATCGTCCTCAACACCTCCGGTCTTATCGGCTTCACCAGATAATCGCATGCACCGTTCTTCACACCTTCGATCACTGATTCCACCGAATCATCCGTAGACATAACTGCTTACATATGATAAATAATGAATATATATATATATATATATATATATATATAGATATTATTGATGTGAATGAGCGGGAATTTAAAAAATGCTTACTGATGATGGGGATATCTGTCTCGGATCTGATCTGTGAGAAAAACTCGGATCCTTCGGCGTTTAAATCTTGGACATCCACGAGGACTATATCGTAACCATTTTGGCTGCCGCGGAGAAGCGACAAGGCGGCGGCCAGCCCGTTGCATTTTGTGACTGAATCAATTATTATTTCATGAAAAATATTTTCGTTTGGTTAGCATGGATGGGGAAAAAAAATATCATGCTATACATGAATTGTATTATATTGCTTTATGAAATAGATCTCCAAAAACAATGAATTCAATTTGATTTTGAACTATATGGGGACCTACTCTGTTAACTTTTTTCCATTTTGTAACACTTATACATATGGAAACAAAAGAAGAAATCGAATATATATATATATATAGAGAGAGAGAGAGATCTATCAAAACTGAAATTATATATATATATTATATATACCTTTGTATTTAAATTCTTTGAGCTGGTTCTCCACTGTGAGGAGATAGTGGGGATCCTCATCCACGACCAACACCCTCAAGCCCTCCGGAAACACGCCGTTAAAAACATCGGTGGTTAAATTCGGATCTGACGAACCAGGCGACATAGGGGAAACTCACCCGAAATTAATTTTTTTGTCGGTCGATTAATGGAACCCCGAAACCATAGTAACAAGAAAAAACACAACACCCGGTGGAATTTCTGGTTGGTTATATTTCGGCGGACGATCTAGTAATTTATGGTTGGACAGAGATACAGAGTCCCACAATATAGGTGAGCCCACATTTTTTTTTTAAAAAAAAATTAAGGTAAATTTATTAGTTTAAAATTAATATTTATTGATCTAATATTTAATAAATAATTAAAGTTAAATTTTATCGATTTCTTAGCCCCTTAAAATTAGGTTGAGAATATTTTTATAATATTTATGATTAATAATTATTAATTACAACTTTTTTTAGTCTTTTTTTAAGTTATGATATTAAATTTAGTAATTTATATAATTATTTTTGTCTATAAATCTAAAGTGAATCTACGTAATCTTTTCCAACAGAAAATTTGTTATAGTTTTCGGTTTCCTTCAAATATCAAAATTATAGTTTATCAAATGTAACAAAAGTGGAGTTGTAACCCCTCCAAATATCATCATTAACCTTTTTCGTTTTCAAATGGACTAAAAAATTTATCATTTAATCATAGCTTATAGTCAATAGCATTAAATCACATCACTGTTAACATATGATGAGAAAATAAATCCTTTTTATTAGTCTACCATTTTTAAATATATTTTTTTAAACAAAAGTTTTGTAAACTGTGGGAAAAAACAAAAGTTTTGTAAAATGAAAACGAGATTGGAAACAAACATATTTCATTCATTATTTAACTTATTCACAATTTTCCATTTTCTCTCATACCACAATTTTAAATTTTAAATTTACATTATTTAAATTAATAGTTACTTTTATGTTTGATTTAATTTTAGTTTGAGAATGACCTTAGGATTTTTTTATAACTAATGCTACAATTTACTATTGGAATTATATTTAAATAAAATTTATAAATGTATACAATATAAAATTCAGAATAAAATAAATTTTTATATAATCATTTAAAATGATAAATAAAATAAATGCCACGTACATAGAAGGTGACGATGTAGATGCTTAGGTGTTTTCATCAAATTAAGTGTTTGAAATCAAACTTTTATATATATATATATAGGGAGAAGATTTGTGTATTTTTGTATCAACTTCTTTTGTAAGAGTAGATTTTTTTTTTGTAAGAGGAGATGTTAATGGTGTATTTATCATCTACGTATTGTGTTTAATGAATCAAACTGAAATACAATTGGTAATATAACACGTTTTACTATGACAGTATCATTTTCTAAATAAATTTCTAATTATATACGGAATTAGTGGTAAAATTTGACCATTATACGTAATTACTTCTATCATTTTCTTGTAGTGGTGTAATGGTAAAAATTAACAATTATACAATGAATCTTATTGAAGTTGTTAATACTTTTTTGTTGGGTATTAGTTAACCAAAGTCGTACGCTGTGAGCTAAGTTTGTGTGGGATAGTGGTGAGACAATATGCAAAGTATGTTCTCATCCTGGTTTTAAATTTAAGCGTGGGAAGAGATATTCACCTGGATTGGGAGATGTAGTCGGGGCAAAGATTCGGTAAACTTCCGAATTATAAAAAAAAAAAGTTGTACGTGTTGAAATACAAATTGGCAATATTACTTTTTACTATGAGAGTATCATTTTCTAAATAAATCCATAATTATATACTTAATTTAAATACAAATTGGTAATAGTGCGCTTACCATGAGAGTATCATTTTCTAAATAAATCCATAATTATATACGGAATTATTTACCCAAAAAAAAATTGACCATTATTCGAAGGATAGATAAGAGAGCCACAAATCACACGTGTGGACCACACGTGTTAGACAGGGACTTGACAAAAAGTACTTGTTCAGTTCGGTCCAATCGAATCTAAGCGCGTGAACGGCTGATTCTCTATGGGGCAATTTCATAAATCTATAGAAACTATGAGGGTATATATGTAAATTGAGTTAGCCTCTCTTTTATATACGACATTGGGACCTCCGATCCAGAAGGTCGGTGACAAAGTCTCGCTTCCACACACTCTCTCATCTCTCCGGGTTTTCCCCTTTGCGCCATCGATCGCTGCCATCAGTCTAGGTTTTTCTTTCATCAGATTCGTGAAAAGACTCCTGATTTCGATCAATTACCTTCTCATTTCTGTGATTATCCTCGATTACCTGTAACAATCGGAGAGCAATGGACTCAAATTCATGGATCAATTGCCCCTCTGTTTTCTCATCGTCTTCTTCTTCGCGGCGGTATCAATCCCGATCAGGTTCGCGCGTCTTCTCTTCTTATTTGTTTGGGAATACTGGTGTTGAAATTTAGGTCTGTTTGGGGATAGATGGTGTCTGTTTCCCTAGAGAGTCGTTGGCTAGATTGCGAAATTTATGTTTCCAATTGTTTCGATTTAATTCGTGGAAATCTGAGCAGATTTGTATTTGGGAGGAGGGTTCGAGGATTTCGAAGGGGAAGATGATCTGAAGGCGGAGTTTATCTGCCCGTTTTGCTCAGAGGATTTTGATTTCGTTGGGCTTTGTTGCCACATTGATGAGGAGCATCCCGTCGAGGCGAAGAACGGGGTAATGATCATCAAATTTGTTTATCTGATTTGTCCTATGCGTATTGCTGTTTTGAATCTTAGAAAAATGTCCATGAGGATTTTGTCTTATCCTTAGTTTCTCCTGGCTTTTGCTTAGATCTTTTTAGATGCTAGACTTTGGTTTCCTTTGCGAACTCAAAATTGGTCGGAAAGAATGATGATTCCGACTTTTTTGGTGATGGTATAACATGACATGAATCTATGATACTGGTTCTCCTTATCGAATGTGCCGATAATAAGGATGGTTTCTTTTGATCCTCTCTTGGGAAGCTTCTGAATTTGCCGTTCTTTATGTTGCCATTGAAGTATTTAGTTTTAGCAGATTACGGTTAAATTAGGGATTGATCATTTAGGGTCCTTCCTTCTCAAAAGTTTGCCCTTTCTGATCAGGATTAGTAGGTTTTGAATCTTGACCCCTTCAGTGCTTGCGTGGTAGGGTAGGTAAAGTTTATGCCTTTTGTTCTTCCTTACGGGATCATGGACTTGTGTTTGTATCTTTCTTGTTTACTGTCCTGGTTAGCATGGTTCCGTTCTCTGATGCAAGTGCGAGTGACAATGATTGCTTGAAGGCTAGTACCGTGGGGTGATACATGTCTTTACGTTGCATTTTCAGGTATGTCCTGTCTGCACAAAGAGGGTGGGAATGGATATTGTTGGCCATGTTACCACACAACACAGGAACTTCTTTAAGATATCCTTTTAACTTTTATGATCTTATGTTTTATACATTACCAATAATTTAGTTTGGTATCCTAAAGTTTATACCGATTTGCAATTCCTTGATGAAAGAGATTCACGTGCAGCGAAGGAGAAGGTTGCGCAGAGGTGGATATAGTTCTGCTTATCTTGCGCTGAAGAAGGAACTGCGGGAAGCAAACATGCAGTCTCTTCTCGGCGGATCTTCCAACTTTAATTCTTCAGCAGCCAACATAGATTCTGATCCGCTGCTTTCATCCTTTATGTTCAACACTCCTTCGGCTAAGGAGTCGGGAATCGGGTCTGTTACATCCATTACTGAAGGAGCCTCGGCAACAAAAGCCTCCCCACATGAGCAATCCCTCGAGAGGTATAGATGTTTATATTTGTCTCCAAGCTCGTTTAGTCAGAGGAAACGCTGTTCATGATCATTTCCCTTAGAACACGAAATTTGAGAAACTCACTCAATGTCTGCCTTTACCCACCGCAGAGACATCCGAGAAACGCCACTTTCAGGCGAGGATCAAGAGAAGGCAAGAAAGAGCGAGTTTGTTCGCGGCCTGCTTTTGTCAACCATGTTCGAAGACATCTAATCTCACTAAAGCCAAAGCCTTTCAGCTGGTGGCATGGTGGGGGATATGCATAAGGTCTCATTGAATAATGTAAGCATAGCCTTTGTAGTGTAGGAGACGAAGAGTACCCATTCATATATTATCAACCGTTGTACCTGGAACTTGTATGTGCATAATTTTAAAAGAATGTAGCTACTTTTCCTTCAGTGATGCTTTTTCACCTTCTTACATAAAACACAACATGAGGGCAAAGCTTGAAATTTCCAGTAACATGTCACTAAAAGATTTGCCGTAAAGCCAGGTAGGCGCTCATTTCAGTTCATCAATCAAGTGTTGTCACTAAGAGTTACATCTCACAGTACATAAGACCCGTTTTCACTGCAGATTCTACTTAAAGTATCGAATCCCGACAAAAAAAAAGGAACACCAGTCAAAAGGGGATATTAGGCTATAAGCTCGCCAGGCTAATTCCTGCATAAAGCATCTTACAGAGAGATGAGTCCTGTAGAAAAAGTCACTTGAGCGCCTGAAAAAAGCAGGGCTAGGGGAAAGATGGACATCATGTATGCAAAGTAAAGCAGATATCGGGTTAACGGGAGAGTATGATCATATCGGTGCCAAGTGCTCTGAAGTTGGTCGAGAAAGTGTGGTTCCATTTCAAAGGGGTTTCTCGATTTCACCTCATCTGTGAGCTGTGGGAGGTGAAAAATCTGTAATCAGGGTGATTGATTCGCAATCGCTTTAGCCAGTTCTCGGCAGCTTGTAACAACGAGTTCACCTTTTGGCATTCC